AAGGACATTAAAATCGTTCGAAGTTGATTTCAAAAGTTAATAACAATTTTTCGCTAATATCTCGAAAGCTAAAGCTTTCCGTCAATTATGCATAAGGAAAAGGTTGTCCACAATCATGCCCCTGACAACATATTAAAAGGACATTAAAATCGTTCGAAGTTGATTTCAAAAGTTAATAACAATTTTTCGCTAATATCTCGAAAGCTAAAGCTTTCCGTCAATTATGCATAAGGAAAAGGTTGTCCACAATCATGCCCCTGACAACATATTAAAAGGACATTAAAATCGTTCGAAGTTGATTTCAAAAGTTAATAACAATTTTTCGCTAATATCTCGAAAGCTAAAGCTTTCCGTCAATTATGCATAAGGAAAAGGTTGTCCACAATCATGCCCCTGACAACATATTAAAAGGACATTAAAATCGTTCGAAGTTGATTTCAAAAGTTAATAACAATTTTTCGCTAATATCTCGAAAGCTAAAGCTTTCCGTCAATTATGCATAAGGAAAAGGTTGTCCACAATCATGCCCCTGACAATATATTAAAAGGACATTAAAATCGTCCAAAATTGATTTCAAAACTTTTCAACAATTTTTCGCTAATATCTCGAAAACTAAAGCTTTCCGCGAAATTTGTATATGAACAAAATTTTTCAGAATCATGCCCGTGATAAGATATTAAAAGCGCACTAAAATCGAGAAAAGTTTATTTCAAAAGTTGCCGGTTGTCTTGCAATAACAATACTTTGCAATTAAAAAATGAAAAATTTTTTGATAATGGTACCAATGGGGAGTCAGAACCTACCCGATGCAAAAGGTTTCGTTTCGATCGGTCCACCCAGCTAGGCGTAATCGGTGAACATACATAGATAAAAATAAAAATATACTGATCGAATTGAGCAATCTTCTCCTTTTTCGAAGTGGATTAAAAATTAATTTCTATCGTCCATAATAATATCCTATGACATTTTTGTATTTTGCTAAGCATAAATAAATTACAAGTTTTACAATTACTGAAATTTTTTTTTTTTTATTTAAGCTTAAGTTGAACTCTCATAAGAGAATTATAAAGCTGTACATGAGGCTTACATTTAGTTGTACAAAGGGTTAGACAGACTTACAGGCTTACTATAGAGTATAAGTAATTTTATGTTAACTGACATTTTACACTTTTATGTTGTCGATCATAATTTTAAAATTCTCACCGATTCTCTCAGTGCCCTTCTCTGTCTTCAAAGTTCAAAGATAGATATAAAAGTAAATCCTTACATTCTGGAAATTAGAAAAAAATACTTTAAATTTAAACAAAATACCTCTAACGACAGCTCTATAGAGTTTATTTGGATCCCCTCACACACAGACATTAAGGGCAATGACGAAGTTGACCATTTAGCAAAACTGGCTACCACAGAACAAAATGAAAACCGAATATACATCCCTTTTACCGACTTCCGAGAATTCTTCAAAAGAAAATGCAACACTAATACAAGGGAATTCATTCAGCAACAAGGACAAAAAAAAGGAAAAGAATTCTTTCGGTACTATTTTGAAGACAGTGTTAAGCCATGGTTTTCAAACAAAAATCTCCTACGCGAAATTATAGTTATGATTAATCGTTGCAGATCAGAACACTATAACCTTGCTGCATCCCTGGCGCATGTTCACATTGTAGAAGATGCTAAATGCAACTGCGGCTTTGAGACACAAGACCTGAACCATATACTTTGGCAATGTCCCTTATTAGATTTCCAAAGAATCGATCTGATGGGAAAATTAAGTAAACTCGGTCTATTTCCACCGCTTAATGTTAAATCCTTGCTCCATAAACCGAACATCGAAGCGTGTCTCGCAATTTACAGCTTTTTGAAAAAAAAAAATTACAAAAATTATCAAGAATATTTCTTGGCTTTTATAATTACCACTTTTTGCTGGACCTCTTCAAAATATTACAAATTTGAAATACCTACTATACCATTATTCTTCTAATCAATTCTTCTAGTAAAAACTATTCGTTTAACCAGTTAAGTGTGTTTGACGATTATACCCGTCATGGAGATGTAGCAGAATTTTGTGTCATGATGACTATATCCGTCATGCGTAAAATTTTACTACAATTTGATATTTAAGTTGTAAGTTTGGCGAAAACTAAATTACATTCGTAAATTGTAATATGTTTAAAATGTTTAGAGGTCATCACGAAATGAAATAAATAAATAAAAAGTGTAAATGATTTGAGATGGATTCATAAATTCTTGAGAGCTAACTCGTCATCGCTTGATTATCGCGACACATACTGGTGCTTTGCAAAAAGATCGCCATACTTACCTGGTTAATGTTAGTTTCTTATTAGTATTACTCGAGAAAATTGAAAAATACTTGCACTTCTCTTGTCATAAATTAATTTAGTAAAAAATATTTGTTAACTGTTATTTTCTTATTAGTACTACACGCGAGAATTGAAAAATGCATAATTTCACTTTTAACAAACTATTTTAGTAAAAAGCCTTTGTTTATTATTATTTTCTTGCTAGTATTACACGACAGAATTAAAAAATGCACAATTTCTTCTGTAATCAATTATTCGAATAAAAATTCTCGTTTATTGTTATTTTCTTGTGTCAATTTCTCGATACAATTTAAAAATACATAATTTTCAAATTAAAAGAATCGTGCAGCGATAAGTTAAACATCACAATCGCAAAAGCGTCACCACAGTAGTCAAAGTGTGTTAAATAGCACAATTGTAACAATTGCTAACAGTACACTTTATCTTATGCACGATGAACCGAATCGCGTTTACTCATACATTTTTTACAAACTCCTTGGAATCAGGAAGCGTTTGAATGCTGCTTACTGTTGCAGCGTCGATTAGATGACCTTCCATTGAATCAAGGGTGCGATGCAATCGTTTCTCGCAATTGCGACGAAAGATATTTAAATAAACCTGGTAGGCGTTGAACATGTCATCAGGAAACTTATTTTTATAGAAGAATTAGCCGAGATAATGAAACTGTTAACGTCATTTTAATAGAAGGAGGATGTACATATGCGGTTGATGACTGTTTAGATCGATAAGGATATTTTAGGATTTCTAAGAACCTTCTTGTAGCAGTCTGTGTTCAAACGCAAATTAATTTTTGTTAATTGGATCTTTTTATTTACTTTACTCCTCATTTAATGGATAAAATAGTGATTGTAATTGTTTATTTCATTGTCATTTTCATTTACATTAAGTCCTTGTAATTCATTGTTTATTAATCATAAATCATAACGAAATAAAAACAAGTTATAATGAATCAGAAAATGAATTTAGAGGTAGCAGCAATGCTGGATAATATTTGAGTAGTCAAACAAATAATTCAAGTACAAAGAAGATAATTAATAATGTTAAATAATCTTTTATATACAAATTTTTAAATAATACCAAATTACTTAAACATAAACTACATTTAAACGAAATAAAAATCAATTTAAAATGAAAATTATTCAGTATAAAATAGCTTTGTTTTATTTGAAATTTTCATTTTCAAGTCCTTAAATATATTAACATTAACAGAAATTATTCATCTTCCTTGATATTTCATTTTATTTTAAATTTATTCTCAAGAATTATTTAACAATATCCAACTCTTATTAATCTATATAACAAATTTTGCAGATCATCACACACATATGACACGTTAAAACTTCATACGCCTTATTTCCTATAAGCTTATTAATTTTTTATCTTCTTGACACATTTATTTTTTCAAATATGCATGGTTAATAAAAATCTATCCTGTAGTCCTCTATACATGTATAAACACACGTTATAGTTACACCTCTTTAATAGAAAAGAACACTAAAAAACATAATTGGTAATTCTATTTATTAAAAATCAATATTTGAAATCCTTAAAGATAATTCACGTCATTTTCCAACTTACTAATTTAAAGATGCACAAACAGTTGCTGCAAACAATTACTAATCTAATGTATGCTTTTTTTCAGGGTGACCAAGGTATACAAGGTTTCCCCGGACCTCCAGGACTGTCGGTTCGTACAGATCTCCATTCCATTAAAAGTTCGTTCCTTGAGTTTCAATTTTTACGTTCAGGGCTCTTTTGATTTCCCGAGTCATCAAGTCGAAAGCCATTTAAATCTCTACAAATGGAAAATCTAAATATTCCGACTGATTTCAAGAAAAGTTTCGTCAATTTCGTTTTATAAATTTCCTTTAAATATTCAAAAGTTACAATTAACTCTTTATATAGACAAAATACGAAAGAAAATATTTTTTAAGCGAAAATCACTTAAGAAATAATAAATAATGAAATTACGTTAAAGAATAGTAATAGTAACATTCCTTTTCATTTAATATTTTTAAAATATTGTACATACGTTTCTTTACTTTTAGAATGTTCTCTTAATATCGCTTAAAACAAAGTACAAACTTTTACATTTTGAAAGTGCTGGTTTTTCAGAGGAACAAAAATAAAGTCGAGCACAGTTTCTACTTTTTTTTTTGTAGTCTACGTATAACTCTGTTGTTGTCGAGAAAAATCGTCTTCGCAAATGGGTCAAGTGTACTTTGCTTACTTGATGACAAGTAGCGATGGGTTTAAGTTGTTGAAACGTTAGACCATTCTTCACATAAGACTCGTTGAAAAACCAATTGCTTAAAATGTCACATAAAACATTTTTTTATTAACAAGATTTTCTTCTGAAATTGCAAAACGTCATGTCTACTATTTAAAAAATCACGCTGTTCGAATACTGACTATACAATGTTACAAATTTTATAAATACAAATTCATTAATTACAAATTTTCGTATTTTGTCACACACATGAATATGTAATAAATTATAATTAACCAAATTATTGAAATTATCACTTGTTCAAGGTAGAAATCTTACATGTATCTTTTCAGAATGATTTGAAACAAATTACTTTATACTACTAATTTATTGTTTTGTTTTTAACAGTTTTTTTAATACAAAATATTGATTCCTTTATTGCCTTATTAGTATTATTTATAACTTTCTTTCCGTAATTTTACAAAAGTAAAAAACAACGCCCATGAACAGAAATGACAAACGTTAATTCTTGAATTCAGTTCCCCGTTTTGAATCCTAAATCTGAATAGAAAATTAATATATCATAAGAATTATACCCATTGCAAACCAATCGCTCGAATAACTAAAAAGAAAGAAATATTTGGTTACACTGTGATCATTGCATGTACCGTAAAAAATCACCGCGAAGCGAAGCAATTCCTCATCAACGGGGACCTGTTTCTTCGTGTCGAGATCCGACAAATAAAAAACAAGCTGCAAGTGTCAAAGAAACCGGGAGTAATTAAATTCTTGGCCGCAGGGTAACACTGGTGCACCCGGTGTAATGGGACCAGACGGTTTGGATGGATGCAACGGAACCGATGGACGTGCCGGTGCACCGGGAATGCCCGGCATTTATGGTGAGCGTGGTCCACCAGGACCAATGGGAGACTATGGCCCCACTGGTGAACCAGGTGAAGGTGGTGTCAACTCTGTAGGCGTAAAGGGTATTCGTGGAAATCCAGGCGTCAATGGACCTGAGGTAACGAAGCTTATCTTTAATTCCACGTTTTTTTAATCAGCTGCCTAACGAGGGTCCCCTTCAAACGTCAGACGTTGATTTTTTTATTACTGAAGCGTGATATTGCCCATTAAGATGTTACAGTACATCTTCCTCCCTGTCTTTTTTTCGGTTTGTGAGAAGTACAGCAAGAAGTAAAGCTTCATTCGACAAGTTTATTCGATTAATACATCATAGGTTATTTTCATAATCGAAGTATATAGAATTAAATTCTAGAATTCTAGATGTCCAAATTTCTTGAATCAAAATCCAAATTTTCGGCAGCTATTTAAACATATAATGGGCAAATTCAAAGTTTTAAAATTTTATAAGCGTCCTGATTTGAACGTTTCAAAAAATACGAAATTTAAAGAGTTTTAGGATTTACAAAGTACTAAAAATTTGGCATAGTCATTTCTTTGCATTGCTATTATAAGCTAAAATTAAGTATTCTATAATTTTCTACTAAAAGTTCAAACAGAATTTATATACTCACAAACAGAAAATACCCTAAATTCAGCATTTTTGCAAATACAACAACCATTTCGTTTCTTGAATTCCTGAATTGAACACAAACAACGTTAAACGACACCGGTTGGAGGTCCTTGAACAATATTGTCCAGTAGGATGCAAACTTAATAATGTAGTGCATCCATCTGCTGAATTCGAAGCACGTGCAAATCAGTTCCCGTGATTAGGTAGCGTCCTGTCGACATGGGACGTTCGATCGTTGGAATTTAAATGCATTCGCTAGTCTGTTTCACGGAAAACGCATTCACGTCGGTATAGAGTTACAAAGACGCAGGAAGAAAATTGTTATTTCTTCGTTGAAGGATTTCCGTCGTGGATACCTAAATCTTTTCGACTGTAATGTAAGCGTCCGTGAGAACGAGAGCCGAAGACGAACTAGCTAGAGGAAATAGTTGGACACAAGGTTATAGAACTACAAGTTCGTCGGTGGTAGTAGTTTCGGGACGTGACCAGAATGTGGGGAGACTAGTGGGGATACTGCAGAAATTTCTTCGACCGATTGGATAATGTCGACAGCGTTGAGTTTCTGAAAAGTTGGAATCGGATATTGAGATCGTTCGTTGTAACTGATGTTCGCATTGATCATTTTGGTGCTTTATAGTTTTTGCTATAACGGAAGATTTAGAGGACTTTTTGAAATATGTTGAGAGATGGATTCGTGAATACTTGGAAGGTAAATTTAGTGGAAGAACGAGGTCTTGAATTTCGAGCGCTGAAGAATTTATGTAATCTTGCAAAATTTTCAATATAGTATATTTATTCTATTAATAACGTCGATATTAAAATTAATTAATATTATTCTGTCTTCAGCAACGTTTCGATAATAATTTGAATATTAATAATATTGTATAATAATGTAATTAGAATATTCATAATAATTTATTAAAATATTAAAATCGAAACAATATATTTATTTATTTAATTATAGTTTTGAAAATTTTTTGTTATTGAAAAATTAAAATCATTTCAAATTGATGTATGTATTAATCATCTTTGTAGTTTATATTATATTTATTATAATAGAGTACCATAGAGAAATTTCAAATTTTGTTAAGAAATTGCTTATTGAATTTTTAGAATATACTTATCGAAATTTTTAATAACGTAATAATATAAAGCAAATTTCTTTGTGTCGTATTTATTTAATATTAAATGCACCTTTTGGCTCTTCATCATCAACGAACACAGCTATTTCTTCAAAACATTTAGTTGACATATGACCTGTCCATATAAATTACCTTCCTATTTTACTGCAGAAAATTCATTTTTTCTTTCGTTAACAGTTGTTCATTGATTTGTTAAAAACGGTGCAAAGTAAAAATACTCCACTGAAATTCATATTCATATCGATCATCTTAATTCCATTAAGATGCTCGATATTAAACTGGAAAGGGAATATTAGAATAGATGTACAGCGCCAGAATTTATCATTTATGAATACTTCTTCGTGGTACTTGCAACAAAACTAAAGAATCTTGAAATATATTGATATCTCCAACGAAATTGAGATTTGGACCACGTCCAAAGTACTAAACTGGAAGACTTTAAATTACAAACCAGTCTTTCTTCTCAATCTAATCGTTGCGGTCCATAAAATCTCTTAGCGGTCAACAAAAACCGTAATTTCCTTTATCTCTACATAAATGCAAAGAGTTTATCAAAATTCCATATCAGAATCCGTGGAAAGAAGAAAAAAGTCTGCATCAATTCTTTTCTTAAAATGCAATTATATAACTGCAAATGAAAAAAGTTATTCGCTAATAAAAATATCTGTTTAAATATCAAAAACATTACTAATTTTATTAGTTACTGAACAAATACAAAAATTAAATTGATACAAAATAAATTGCAGATTTTGTTGTTTCTAAGTCATTGTTGCCTACATATTTTTTAAATGTCCAAAGAATTATTCATTTTTACACAAAACATTTTTTTATAAAACGCATTTTTTATCCATTTCTTTAGAATTTCTAGTCCATGTTATTTAATTAATTTTTATTATTTCTAAAGTAACGTCGACTTTTCCCAATTTTTAGTAGAAATCTTCAATTTCGATTCTCCGAATATACCAGATATTTGTAAACTAAACAAGTCTGAATAAGACTTTCTGAAAAAAGCAGAAATATTGTATCTCGTAAATTTTCCCATTTAAATGCATACAGAAGACTCAGTTTTGATTGTTGCTGTAACAAAATCTGTGGATCTCTTCAGTTTTTGTCGGTGGACTTTTTAGATCAAGAAACTTGTAAATAACAAAATATCAGAAAAGCTAGTGACTGAAAATCACAATCTCAAATTCCTAAATTTTTAAATATTTAATTTTGAAAACATCAAATTTTCAGATTTTCTGAGGTTCAAGTTCTTAATCATATTTCTGTAGTTTCATATGAATAAATCTTTGCAGTATCCGAATTTCCAAATTTCCAAATTTCCACATTCCTAAATACTAAATTCCTAAATTTTTAAAAACTAAAGTCATGATCCCTAAATTTCCAAATTTTCAAATTTCTGAAATTTTGAATTCCTATATTTCCAGATCAATAAATCTTTGCATTTTTCAAATTACCTTTCCACATTCCTAAATTCCTAAACCACTAAATCCTAAATTTCTACATCCACAAGTTTCCAAATACTTAATTTTTAAATTTCCAAATTTACAGATTGTCAAAATTTCAAATTCCAAATTAAATTCCTACATCTTCATATCAATAAATTTCTACAGTTTCGAAGTTACCCAATTTGCAAAATTTCACATTTCCAAATTTCTAAATGCTAAATTTAGAAATCCCAACTTTTCAATTATACAACACTGAGTTACATTATAAATTCATACACATAAATTGACAATTATGACCAAATATCTATAAGTCACGGGTGGTTAACAGTACAGAAGCTGTCAGTAGTTATCGTTTTGAAAATTCCTAAGTTTACGGTGAGTCTCAAAATTCCTTAGCTTCCATCCATTCCTATTTACGGGGTCGTAAAACCAAAAGAACCCAACCACAAACAAAATCGTTTCGCCTTTACAGCAAGAAAGCCATTGAAATGCTAACAATTTCCAACTGCCCCGAAACTCTTGTCGCTAAACCGTGTTTTTTCTGTTTAGGGTTTCCCAGGAACGTACGGGATCCCCGGTGAAATGGGTTATCCAGGCGAAACCGGCGACGTGGTGAGTAAAGGATCACGATTCATTGGTTGGTATCTCTCTTCAGGTACCGTAACGGCCGATCGGGCCAACCGGAAGGTTCGTGAACCTCTTACAAGCGTTTAGGTCGTGCCACTCGTTCGCGAAGGTACGTGGCAGCCATAGAGGAAAGAGGAGAGGAAAGGGACCGTGATAAAGCGAGAGAGAAAGAAGGGCCAGTGGTGGTTAAAGCGTGTCTCGTTCCTTTTTGCAAGACGCCACCTGCTCGCATGAAATATCGTCTGGTTGGCTAAGTGTTCCTCGGCAATATTTAACGGACACGCCGGAAAGATTGCGAACGAGAAGAGGGAAGAAGAATTTAAAAGAATGCACGGGTCGCGATATCACGCGATAAGCCGCTTCAGGTGGAATCCTCTTACACGGTCTTTGTAAAAATTGCCGCGAAACGATCGTGTAACCATCTTTTGTCCATTCCCTGCCTCCGAGCATCTAACGCTGCGATAAAAATCAACTTCGAACAACGTTAAATGGCCAGCTGATGTAATGAATCACCGTGATTGCCGCTTCTCTGACCGGAAATGTGTTCATTATTGATACTGTTCATAACTCTATTCTTGTATCTTTGTATTTGACCGCCCATTTCTGTCTTTGATGATTATACACCGATGAACATCTCACGTTTACACATATATGGTGTCTCGAGTTTTCTCGACAATATGCGTGGGCATCTTCTGTGGATAAAGCTAATGTTGTGGATTTTTGACTTGATTATCAAAATACGAGTGCCACATTCTAATATGTCATACTCTTTGAACCCATTGCACTCAAAGGTATTTTTGCTGCTAACTCTAAAAATTCTTAATTGATTTTGATTATTATTTTCCTATTATCGATTGTAATTGTCTATTGCAATTGTCTCACATATAAAGTACAAGGGTTTAAAAATTATCATAAACATGAAATACCAATAATTGTGGAATGAGTCGCACAAAGATGTTTAATTGAAAAAGAAAAGAATTCACGAACGTCTGAGAAAAAGTAGAGAGCAAATTAACCGGATGAGACTGGACGATCAAATGCAACAAAGGTGCCACGTGTTAATCTCTAAATACGAAACGGATCAGAATCTGCTGAAATCTGAATCGTCGCGATATGCTACTATCTGCTGACACGACTGTCACCGATAGCATAAGTTGTCGTCTTTTCTTGGGAGAGGATTTCGCCTGCAGCGATCAGAAGTCCACGAGAAACTCGAGATCTCTGTTCGTTGCATTGGTTCGTTTGAAAATCCGCTAGTACACATGTATATCCACCTTCTACCTCATCCTATCGAAAATAAGAAATGGGATAGAATTCTGATCTTTCGTCGCGTAAGATGCTATATCTTGGACTGCAGATCGTAGTACTTTTCTCATATTCGATTTTATTTCGAAATGGTTATCAGATGATGCTTGAAACTGTTCATACAGGATGCCTCAGTTTTTTACAAGCAAACCTATCATATTCTATTCGTAAAAATTAAAAAGAATGTTATATTAACGTGGAGTTCCAAATATTTTGTTAAAGTTAGGACAGAAATGTCAACAGCTTTGTTCGATATCATATAAGTGTTCGAGTTTTATCCGTATTTATGATTAAAAATAAGAGGAAACGTTTATATCAGCACAGGCTCTTGAATGTATTATTAAAAGTTATTAAAAAATATATGAAAGTCGAGAATTATTAATATGCAGCAGTGAAGGAGAAAATTGTTCATCATTATTTCGTATATTCCTAATCTTTCAATAAAGTATTTAAGAGCTTATTTTTACAAAAGTGGGACACGCTGTACGTTACATTGTAACAGAAATCAGTTCAAAATCATTTTGTATTTTTATTATAATTTTTCAACCCTTTCGCTCAACTAAACTTTATTCAACTTTATATTCCTCTGATTTTATATTTTATGCATATTTATTCGTTTTATTCAATTATTCATTTGTGAAAAATTATGAAACAATTTTTATAATTTCTATAACTCTTATAGTTACAACATAAAAAATGCTTAAATTTCTAAAATATTGAAAAATCACTTTCTGCAGGATAATTTTTAAATTTATTAACATAGGCATTCTTTTGAAACTGAAAAGTTTACTTGCCGTAACAAATTTTTCTCGAAAGTTAAATATGGTGGAGAGAAACAAATAGCAGGTTTATAATCAGTAACTGAAAGTCTGCAAAAATCAGCGAAATTGGAAAAGTTAAAATTTGTTGCGCGGTGTAATTAACTTTAGAACGGAACAGTTCTACAGCAATTAGTGCATTCGAAGTAATTATTTCGTAGGGTTATCCTGGAACCCCCGGATTACCAGGCATGCAAGGAGAACCTGGAGAAACAGTGTACGGTGTGCAAGGTCAACCAGGTGAACCAGGTGACAGGGGAGAAGTTGGACCACCGAGCGATCCTAAATTTAGAGGAAGTCAGAATACTACATCGGTAAAGGGCGATAAAGGTGACAAAGGGATGCGAGGAAATTATGGAGATCGTGGTCGAAAAGGAGAGATGGGAGCCAAGGGTCCTTATGTGAGTATCGAACAACAAGAAGGATATTGATCTTATTTTGGCGCTCCCTCAACTTTATTACTTTAATAAGCCAATTTATTATCTTTTTAACTTTACTGCCGCAGTAAAAAAATTTATTGTCTTATCGACATTATTACATTAATAAAGAAATAAATGTAACGAATGATATCTCTTAGCGAGATGTGCTTATCGAAACTGTATTTTTGTTAATAATTTTGTACGATATAGTCGAACCTCTATATTGAGGAATTAAGTAAAAATTTATCGAAAACACGGTTTTTTAAATTTACTTATAAAACTATATTTATTTTAAATGTGTCTTGTTTTATTGAACAAAAAACAATGATTAATTTATAAGGCAAGCTATATTTTATTCTGTTTTTAAATCAAGTACGCAAAATTGATTTTAAAGCTTCTTTTATTTAAGATATTTCTTGAAAAGATATTTCTGGATCAATATCTTGCTAATTTTGTAGGCAATACAATATTCCTTTAAGTAAAATATAGCATGAAATATGTTAAACTTCGTTAGCTAATTACAACAATCGTTATACAATTTGACATAATTATTAATACCAAAAAAAAACACATCGAAAAAATAAACTAAGCAGTCAAAATTCTCTGTTATAATAGAACATTTATTTTATTAGGTTTCATAAAATTCTGTCCGTTCTTACGACTCATCACAATATCTCGCACCAAAAATGCACTACAAGACCTAAGACATAGAATAAAGTTCAACAAAACAAGGTTACAGAACTCTTATTTCCAAAAAAATTTACAATTTTTTTAGATAACTTTTTAATTTCTATATCAATTTATGAAGGCACAACGTTAACTTGATTCAAATTAGGTTCATGAATTGTGAAATAAAATGAATAGAGGCTTTTCATTGGAATACAAACGAACATAAAAATATAGAAATGTTGGAAATTGAATGATAATCTCCATATATCGTATTCATGCTTTATGTGACATTTTCATGTAGGGTCGGCCAGGTTATGCCGGTCTCAAAGGTATGAAAGGAGAGCAAGGAGGAGACGGTCCGAGAGGCAAACAAGGAATAGAAGGTCCATCAGGACCCCCAGGAGAAAAAGGAGATAAAGGAGCTCCAGGTTATGCTGGCAATCCTGGAGTTGATGGACCTGATGTAAGTATCACGGGTTTCATGGTTTCTTAAGAATTACAAATTGCTTTATTCTATTAGAAAAATTGAAGAGCATTTTAATTTTCAACTTTATTTTAGTATCCCCTACTGAATTTCTAAATGCGAAATTATTATATTTCGAAATTTCTAAATTTTTAAACGTTTTTCTTTTAAATTTCTAAATTTTTGAGTTCTAAAGTTTCTAAATTCAAAAATTTACATTTCCAAAATTCAAAATTTCAAAATTCACAATATTCCCAAATTTCCAAATCCCTAAACTCCTAAATTCTTAAATTTCTACATTTTGTGAATTCTCAAATTTCCAAATTCTAAAATTCACAACATTCCCAAATTTCCAAATACCCAAATTCCTAAATTATTAAATTTCTAAATTTCTACATTTTTGAATTCTCAAATTTCCAAATTCCAAAAATCACAATATGCCCAAATTTCCAAATTCCAAAATTCACAACATTCCCAAAGTTCCAAATCCCCAAACTCCTGAATTCTTAAATTTCTAAATTTCTACATTTTTGAATTCTCAAATTTCCAAATTCCAAAATTTGTAATATTTTCAAATTTTTAAATACCCACATTTTCAAATTTGCAAATCCCCAAACTTCTAAATTGCATAATTTCTGAATTTCTGAACTCCAAAATTCGTATATTCCCAATATTCCTAAATGTCCAAATTCCTAAATTCCTAAGCTCCCATATTCTTTGGTATCCAAATTTCCAAAAGTTCAAATTCCAAACACCTAAATTCCAGATATTTCTAAACTTTCAAATCCGAAAATCTTTAAAAACTTTCAAATTTCCTAATTTCTTAATTTAATAATTCCTAAATCCAGTTCTTGAACGCCTAGACTCCTACATTTCTAAATTCCTGAATTCCCCAATTCTTAAATTTCCTAAATCTCTAAATACTAAATTCCTAAATTCTGAACCCTACACAGTTCCAAATCATCAAATTCCAAAATTGCTAAATCTCCACATTCGCAGATTCCAAAATTATTCATAATCCTACATTCATAAATTCCCGAATTTCTAAATTTTTGAATCCCCTAATTTTCAAATTTCTCAAACGCCAAATTCAAAATTTCCTTAATTTATTTAATAACAATTTGCTCCATTGTCCCTGCATTCCGCCACACACTTTACATCATTTTTTGACTACACCACCACTTATCAGTTTTACATACCAAGGGCATAAACATCCTTCGACGTTGTTGTTCATTTCACAAAATTTATTTTCTGATGAAATGTTTTGCACATAAAATTTAGGGTGAATTAGGAGAGCCCGGAAATGCAGGACCACCGGGTAAACAAGGGGCTGCTGGAGAACCTGGAAAATATATACCAGAACTGGACGAAATAATCCAAGGAAATATTGGAATTCAGGGAGATCTAGGTCCGTGTTTTGTTAGTTTTTACTTAAACAACTCAAAAAAAAGAAACGTCTTAGTATATTCCTAACCTAACCAACGATAATTAACATACCTATATTGGTCAGCTATCATTTACAAAATAAATTTCTCAAACAAAATTATTAATATCATAAAAGAACTAAAATACTAACATTCTATAAAAATAAGAAATAACTTGAAACATTTTTTCCTTATGCTAGAACTATTTTTTATAATTATTAGTATAAAAATATCCAAGCAGTTTTAATCATTACTAAAGTTACCTTCTTTAAATCAATGCTTTCGTGTACGGAATACAATTTTTAAAGTTCGCTAAATTTTTCGGAGCATCAAGACAAAATCTTAAAACGTACCATAAAATCTTATGATCACGTTAATAAAACTGGTTGCGGAAAACAGTATTTATAACAATTATTTCTGACCTGCAGGACCACCCGGTAAACCAGGAGAACCAGGAACGCCTGGTCTACCTGGAGCAGTAGGTTACATCGGACCACCTGGTCCTCCAGGACCCCCAGGTCCTCCCGGATTGGCAGGATTAAAAGGATCTTCGGTCAAAGGAGAGCCCGGGGATGACGGTACGGTTCATTAAATATCTCACAAAAATGAAACGAAGGCGTCGAAAATTCGTCGAAATGATGCAGAAAATATTCGACTGAATTGCTCTAGGTCCTGGTGGAGAAATCGGCTCTCATGGACCTCCCGGTTTATCTGGCTTACCTGGACCTATTGGACCGAAAGGATATCCTGGAATAACAATCATTGGTCCGCCTGGTATTGATGGTAAACCTGGATATCCTGGAATTTCTGGAGATCGTGGTGATCGTGGTGATCCTGGTCCTCAAGGTAATAATTTAATATTTAATATTTATCATTAATATTAATAGTAATAGTAATTAATAGTAATTAATATTAAATTATCATTTAATATTAATAGTAGTTTATTTAAGAGAAAGGCTTCCATCATTATATATTTTTATATAACACTCTATGGTGTACTAGAAAATTTTAGTAGACATTTTTATATTATATAAAACTACGTAAGTGTTTAATAGTGATGTATATATAAAGAAAATGTAGGATGTTTTTCCGAAAAACCAATATATACTGTAAGAATAAGAATGAATGAATTTATCTGAAATAGCTGTCTTTAAATGCTTTATAGGGAAATTACAGTGATGAGAAATGATAGGAGATTGATGTTTCATTGGCACAATATTACAAATTGCCGATATCGATTTGATGTGTATACGTGTTCTAATGTTTACTAGTTGAAATTGTTGATTTGGTTGTTAGCTGAAACCATCGATTTCGCATCAAGAAACTGATAAACAAGAATTAGTAATGCAGTAAATTCTATTCTGTGCAAATGACAATCCTGTACTCGTGGTAACAGGCACATTTTGAAACAGAATTATGACTATTCAGTTGCAACTATCGTTCCTACAAAGTGTCATAGTTGTAATATAGATATGTACATAAAATTATTCATCGTAGCAACAGAAGAAATTATTGTACATAGATAGAATGTCTATATGCGTAAATATTATTTATCTAAAATAAGAATTTTATATTATCTTATATGTACATATGCAATATAATTGTTCTCCGAGAATAAATTTTGCGTTGAATATTTTTTGTTAAAGTTGCTTAAAAAGATTTCTACATAAATAAATTGCAAAGGGGTGAATTTGATTTATAAAAAGTGAATAAGATCTACAAAAATGTTAATTCAAATTTTGAAAGGATGAATGTAATCTACAAAGGATTAATTTGGGGCGCATAATCCATATGATGTTCCTTTACATTTTTAATAATAAGGAATATGAAGAAAAACTGGGGTAGTATATTTATATGGCACCAGAGCAATTCTTATCTTATGTTCCTATACCTTATACATACATTAAAAAGTTAATACTTTGTGCTTATTTATAGACACTCTAGTGTAAACCTAAAGAACGAGAATTATTCAACAAGAGCAGCAATAAATTAAGCCCTTAAAATTGAAAGTGTGAATTTTCTTTCAAAAAAGGAACGAATTTCCTAATAGCTACACAAAACATAAAAAGTATTCAATTTCATGTATAAAATATAATGCATACAATTACATAAACTAATCGCAATTAGATTTGTAACTTGCAAAGCATTATTTGCTTTTGAGATGGAAATTTATCTATTTCACAATAACAGTATTTTATAATTTGTTATTTGTATCTTGATATAAATCCAATGTGCTATATTAAACATCTACGTAACAGTCGGTTCTGTTTTTCATTATAATCAGCTTTATAAATAAGTTTTATAATTGCAATAATTATTTAATTTGTTAATCAGGTCCGAAGGGTTTCCCTGGAAAAGGAATCAGAATTCGAGGCCCGCCTGGTGAGCGTGGTTTACCAGGAGCACCAGGTATTCCTGGACGTGATGGAAGGCCCGGTATGACAGGTTTATTAGGTGCAAAAGGTATCCGAGGCGACGACTGTGGCATTTGTAAACCAGGTACGTTTATTTGATAAACTATTATTCAAACAACAACATAATTATGCATCTAAACTAATCGTATAAAGAAAACGCAAAACATTTTTGCCTGAAATATCTCAAGAAAATCGGTACTTCAATTTTTCAAACGCGAGACACTGTATTAAAAGATTAGAAAAATGTTTAAGAGTAATCGTAGCAACATGTTGTTATTGTCATAATAAACATTTTATCATTCAAAAGGTTTAGTACTAAATTTTCATGTTGAAACATTTCTTATTCTATGATTTTTCATTTTTTGTATTTAGGATTTACGACTATACGTGTTATTGTATACAAGTATGACTTATATTTCAAAATTTTTTGGAAACCCGACAGTTTGAATTTACCCAGTACCTACTCTTCTGGTTCAAGTAGGGGGTTGAAACGCGGGGTATCATGTTTGCTTGGTAGGCTATCGAACGGTGCATCACAAGTAAAATTGATTCAGAGGCGCTTTTGACCGGCTTATTCGGCTATGCTCTTTGACACCTATCTGCAGAATCGAATTACAGTGATTTGAAACCCTATTCGATTAGTTTTTACGAAGTTATTAACAATTTTCCATAAAACAGTTTTTTACTAAATCATTTTTCACTTATTTTGTATTTCAATTACATTATTATTTATTATTATTTTAATTTCAAGGCACATCAATTTCTTATACGTACCATTTTTTTCATGAAGCACCATTTTTAATTTGTTTGCATAAAACTACAGACTTATTTATTTGTAACAAATAAAAATCCAGAAGTTCAATAATTATTAGTTTCACTAAACGATCTTTTACGCTATGAAATTCTTCTTACCAATTTTTAGATTAAAATCTGCTTTTTTAAGCTAATTCAATTAGCTTAACATATTGAATTAATTAGTGCTAGTAATAAAACATTAAAAACCACGGTCTGAAGTCTAGTTTGAAATTGCATGATTGAATACTGTCAAATTATTTCACGGTTTCGCTTCAATTACCATCGTCGAGACGGTATCGGCTTACTAGCGTAACTAATGATGACAAGATCTTAAATAAATCAAAAAGTTACTGCTGCGTCCTGAAACTGCAATCCAATATCAATCTATGTATAACAATCTACTTTTGTTACTGCACTAAAGTGCACTAAATTTGAACTTCATTTATGTTTTACAATAACGAATAATTCGTGTGTTTTCAGATCTTGATTATGAATCTAAAATTGTACTTTCCATCACTTCCATTTTTTGAGAAACTCAATTTTAAAAAGAATGTTTTCAAATCCAAAAACTTTTTATACTTGAATTCAAGTTATTAAATAAATCTCCGAAAAGTGTTGCTATAAAATCATTTACCTATAATTAACGTTATTAACAATACATTTTTTATTTGTGAAATCCACGAAATTATTTACTGTAAGACTCATTTATATAACTTCTACGAATGCTAATTTTTAAGAGGAAACTTTGAGGAATATGAGTATATTTTCATTTAAATTTGAACCCTTCACGCTCCTCATTGAAAGCAACGCAAAAAGAAAATTTGTTAAAATTTTCCAATACTATAAGACAAATCGACGAAGTCGAAAAAAATATTTTATAATGACGCAATCTTTTATGAATGAAACAAAAAAAGATGTACCTAAATCAAACAAGTAATTTCCGAGAAAAAAATTTGTAAGTGAAACCTATTTTCGCCAAAATGGGCAAAAATTGTAAACTTTGAAGGCTTCTTATTTCTTAACAAATTCGAAACCACGAAAATGATGACTTAAAGTCTCCTTAATTTCACATGTACTATACCATACTTCGATTAAAACAAAATCGCAGGAGGTGAAGTCGAAAAGTGATCGATTTAGCGTGGAAGGACGCAAATATTATTTGAGTAAATCTTAATATATGCAAATATATTTTATTAATAAAATACAAGTTTTCAGTATGTAGAGAATGCCAATATCTACTATATGTATATAATATTAGTCATATACGCCATTAATAAGATTAAAGAGAAAAGGGGTAAATTCGTAAACCAGGCAAGTGCATAAACAGGCTACTTTTATTACAATATGAGCGAAATTTCTCCATTTAGTATTTTTGTTTCCTTGTTTTGTTTCACTATATCCCCTTCTATATTTCAGCTAAAAGTACTTGTTTGCAGTATAGAGTACTTGCATAATGCAGTAAAAAGCATTTTATAGCAGATTTGTTAATAATTCTGCTCTTGCCCCATTGCACATGAAATAAAATTTCAAAGTATTTAACTTCAAGTTACGCTCTTACCCCATTTTCAGGAAAAGTGCAGAGTAGTTGACATTTTAAACAATTTCCTATCAAAATCAGAATGTACAAGGAAAATTAAAGTCCTAGTTAATATTAATTAAATAGTAGTAACTGTGCAAAGCGTTCGATATCGACAGCGTCAAGTATTTACATAGCAGACTGAAAATACTTAGGTTTAAATACCAACTTTACAAAAACTAGTCTGCATTTACTCAACTTCACTTTATAGTTATAAATCGAACTTTCTATGTAACCAACATTATTAAAACAAATTTCTTGCATAGGATTGCCTGGTCCAAAAGGTGAAAGTGGTGACAATGGATTGAACGGATATCCTGGAGCACCAGGATTTCCAGGATTACCAGGTCCTCGCGGATTCAAGGGAGCGCTAGGTAAACCGGGTGCTCCCGGTCCTAGAGGATTGCAAGGCGATAACGGAAGGCCAGGAATTGCGGGACCTCAAGGGCCAAAAGGAGAAAGTGGAAAAATAATTTTTCCAGGCAAAAAATTGATCGGAAAGCCTGGTGATGTTGGTGACAAAGGATTTCCCGGAATCGAAGGACCAAGAGGTCGACGAGGACAACCTGGCATTCGAGGCGACACTGGACCCCCAGGTCCTAAAGGAGAGAAAGTAAGAATATTTTATTAGATCTCTCTTTGACATCTTAATGTTAGTTTTATATCAATAGTATTTAAAAATACAAAATACCAATTAAATTATACTAGTACTAATTAAATATTAAATTATTAATTAAGTTATTTTTAATATTAATATTAAATACTTAATATTGTTAATAATTAATATGGTACAATATTGACAATTAATATTAATACTAATAATTTAAATACTATTAATATTAATATTAATCCATTAATATTGTACAACAGAAATGTTATCAAAGTGGAAACGCAAAATTAAAGATTCATCATTTTTCTGATATTTAATAATTCATATACAAAGTGAGTCATTTAAACAGTTAACTGCATTCAACATGCAACCACGTCAATGACAAACTTTGTTTTGGTAGGATTGATTGTCGCGGAAATTAAAAAATTACCATTTAGTATAAATACTCGAAAATTCAACCAAAAGTAATAAATATGTAATTTGATAGTATGTTTTCTTCATATTATCAGTAAAACTGCAGTGTATGTTATTTAAAAAAAAGTTTCGTTTACTGTCTTTGGTATATTTAATATTCCCCGTGCAATATGTTCTCCAAAATGTATTATACACATGCCGTCAAATTAACTGCATTTATTACTATTACCTTTTCTAATTTTTCCTGTTCACGAATATTATTATTTTTTGGACAGTTTTTAAGTTTGTAATAACAATTATCTTTTCAACAGTAAATCGTTTATGTTTTATCGAATGTAATCCTTTAACAGATGTAATCCTTTGCTTTACTTTTTCGTAGAAATGATAGACATTTGCCTTACATTTGTTTTACTCAACTTCACTTTATAGTTATAAATCGAACTTTCTATGTAACCAACATTATTAAAACAAATTTCTTGCATAGGATTGCCTGGTCCAAAAGGTGAAAGTGGTGACAATGGATTGAACGGATATCCTGGAGCACCAGGATTTCCAGGATTACCAGGTCCTCGCGGATTCAAGGGAGCGCTAGGTAAACCGGGTGCTCCCGGTCCTAGAGGATTGCAAGGCGATAACGGAAGGCCAGGAATTGCGGGACCTCAAGGGCCAAAAGGAGAAAGTGGAAAAATAATTTTTCCAGGCAAAAAATTGATCGGAAAGCCTGGTGATGTTGGTGACAAAGGATTTCCCGGAATCGAAGGACCAAGAGGTCGACGAGGACAACCTGGCATTCGAGGCGACACTGGACCCCCAGGTCCTAAAGGAGAGAAAGTAAGAATATTTTATTAGATCTCTCTTTGACATCTTAATGTTAGTTTTATATCAATAGTATTTAAAAATACAAAATACCAATTAAATTATACTAGTACTAATTAAATATTAAATTATTAATTAAGTTATTTTTAATATTAATATTAAATACTTAATATTGTTAATAATTAATATGGTACAATATTGACAATTAATATTAATACTAATAATTTAAATACTATTAATATTAATATTAATCCATTAATATTGTACAACAGAAATGTTATCAAAGTGGAAACGCAAAATTAAAGATTCATCATTTTTCTGATATTTAATAATTCATATACAAAGTGAGTCATTTAAACAGTTAACTGCATTCAACATGCAACCACGTCAATGACAAACTTTGTTTTGGTAGGATTGATTGTCGCGGAAATTAAAAAATTACCATTTAGTATAAATACTCGAAAATTCAACCAAAAGTAATAAATATGTAATTTGATAGTATGTTTTCTTCATATTATCAGTAAAACTGCAGTGTATGTTATTTAAAAAAAAGTTTCGTTTACTGTCTTTGGTATATTTAATATTCCCCGTGCAATATGTTCTCCAAAATGTATTATACACATGCCGTCAAATTAACTGCATTTATTACTATTACCTTTTCTAATTTTTCCTGTTCACGAATATTATTATTTTTTGGACAGTTTTTAAGTTTGTAATAACAATTATCTTTTCAACAGTAAATCGTTTATGTTTTATCGAATGTAATCCTTTAACAGATGTAATCCTTTGCTTTACTTTTTCGTAGAAATGATAGACATTTGCCTTACATTTGTCGTGTATACTCATCATTGCTTTATTCTAATTATGTAGCTCCTAAATAATTTTTCGAAATAAATTGAGCAGTTAACTAGTCCAATTAATCACTCCAAATATCTCTGAAACTGTTCTATAAAAAAGTGTTTCAAATAAAATTGCATGGTTTCGATGCGAAATTTCCCTCCCTATAATTCGATGTAAGGAAGTTTTGTATAAAGTCTCATTAGCCAGTTAAGTGTGTTTGACGACTATATCCATCATGGAGATGTGACAGAATTTTGTGTCATGACGACTATATCCATCATGCGTAAAATTTTGTTACAATTTGATACTTAAATCGTAATTTTGGCGAAAACTAAATTATATTCGTAAATTGTAATATGTTTAAAATGTTTAGAGGTTAACACGATTGCAATAAACAAATAAAAAGTGTAAATGATTTGAGATGGATTCATAAATTGTTGAGAGCTAACTCGTCATCGCTTGATTATCGCGACACACACTGGTGCGCGCTTTGCAAAAAGATCGCCACAGTTAACTGGTTAAGAAATTTATCGTTATTCATGAAATGTTGAATGATAAGAAACCATACATTGTTTTAGGGTGACCATGGTCCTCCAGGATTTCCTGGACGCGATGGTTTTCCAGGTATAGATGGTATTCCTGGTCCAAAAGGTGATGACGCGTACATACCAATCGAATATCTGCATGGAGAACCAGGTGTGCCTGGTAGTCCTGGTTTCAAAGGTGCACAAGGTGATAAGGGAGGAAAAGGAGAACCTGGAATATCATCGTCATACGATATTAAGATGAAAGGGGAGAAGGGATTCAAGGGAGAAAGAGGTGCTCCAGGTGAGAAGTTAAAAACAATCATTTATTAATTCTTAGCCACATAATTTTTCTTTTATGTATAATAGTTTCGAACTTTCATAGATAATACCGAAAAAAATAATATTTTTTATAAAAGCAATTTTCGTAAAGAAAAATTTAATAATAAGAATAATGACCATAGCAGTCAACGCTAATAGTTTTAAACAATTAAATTATGTAATACTGCAAATTTGCAATATTTTGGAAAGGTAAAAATTGTGGTTACTAAAGGTAGGAAATATTTTCAACAATTTCGTTAATTATAAAACTCATTATTCATTTATATTATTTTATGCATATTTGCAACATAACGAAAAGTTAAGAAAAAGAATCGTTTTAAATTATAATTTTAGAACAAAACAGCGGAAAAGTATTTTAGTTATAACTACAGAATTTCTTTGATTTACGAGTGTTCTCCTGTCACAATTAACAATTCAAAAAAGCAATTTTGAAAAGACATACAGTAGTATGAAAACTCGACGTAGACGAAACTGTAGACGTTTCTAATTAGTTAATCAATCATGAAATATAAAACTAATCATTGATAATAAATAATTACAATTTTACAATGATAAATTTTAATAATAATTATAATTTTATACTAAATATAAAGATTACTTGAACGTAATATAAAATTGCTTGATATAATAAAAAGCTATATATAATTTTAATCACTCGACTGAAATCCTTGCAGGATACGATGGAGCTAAAGGAGTTGCAGGATGGAACGGTGACGAAGGATTCCCAGGACTTCCTGGTGTCCCAGGATCTCCTGGTATATCACCGCAAGGTCCTGTAGGTTTGAAAGGATATCCCGGAATGCCAGGAGAACAAGGTCCACGTGGTACACCAGGTACACCAGGACCACAAGGACCTGTTGGTTTTCCGGTAAGTGTGCCCACAGCTGCTAAAATTGAAACTAAAGTTTAAAATATGTCTATCACTTTCCTTCTATTTTATTAAATACAAGAAGAATCATAACAAAAATTGACTTAGACATTTCATTAAAATTTCTATTTAAGTAACTAAGAAAGGTCCCATACTGTCACATTAACATATTGACTAGCATTTGTTCGATAGTAAAGTTTTGGCATATAGTTTACTAAACACGCGGCATTGATATTAATATTATTATTTTTCTGCTAAAATATAAATGGTTTTTCCAAAAGTGAGCGTGGTGTTGTCGATAAAACGTGAATTTGACAATCTTGTTATTGAAGGTCTAAGTTATAAATAGTAGTTAACATATTATTAACTACAATTTCTTAAACTTTTATTATCGTGATTTCCGTAAAAAATCGACATCGAATTTCTTCACAAGAAAGCCACATCGTATTTGAGCATACAATCAATACTTATCAAGGAAAAAAGAAGTATTTTGGTTAAAAAGACACTGGAAGATTAAATAACAGAATTAGTTAAATTTTTAAAAGTATGAACACTTTTATCAAGCATGAATGTTATGATGATAAACCAGTTTACATAAAATAGAATATTTTGCATAAATCGACATAAGTAATAAGAAATGTTGAAGCAACAAATTCAATGTTGCTTTAATACCTAAAAGATTATTTTCATTCTCTTTTAATAAACTTTCCATTTTTAAAGTAAAAATTGGTTATAATCAGTACACTATTATCTATTAACCCCTTTATCTGATATTTTAGGGTCGCATAGGAAACAAAGGTGATCGCGGTGACCCAGGTACAAATCAGACATACGGCGACTATGGATTATGGGGTCTACCCGGTGAGAAGGGAGACTTCGGTAACCCTGGGCCACAGGGTTACCGAGGTAGACCTGGAGTAGATGGACCGAAAGGTGTGAAAGGTGCCAAAGGTGCCCCTGGCATCGAGGGTCTACATGGATTACAGGTAAATCTACTTTCGTTTGAATAAAAGCGATCAGATCTTTATTCTTGAGATTTCACGAATGATACCAATCTGCAGGGTGCTAAAGGACAACGAGGTGATAGTGTACAGGGATATCGAGGTTTCCCTGGAGAAGCTGGCCAACCTGGAATGCCTGGAAGAATGGGAGAAATAGGTATCCCAGGTACGAATTAACTCTATATTTCATCTGAATCGTATAATTAATAGATAACTATTATTTACTTCATTATTTAAGAAAAATGATATATAAAATTTTATTAACATATCACTTTGTCATAATAATCTTTTTTGCATTTAGTATATTATTTGTCATAATAATTTCTGCGTTTCATAATAATGAATTAACACATTCGCGTTCACTTGAATAAATGTGTACACATGAAAGCGGCGGCAAGGTTCGAGTAGGTCATAAAAATCGTTTAGACGCGATAGAGCACAAAATCCGATCATTGAACAGTATCGACGCTGATGTAATTTATAATTTCGTGTGGACCGAACTGTCGAACGTGTTTAAATCCGCCATATGCACTCCATTACACAATGAATTGTTATAATAACTCGGAAACAATCAAAAAGCTGTCCGCACATTTCAAAGTAGTACACATGAAAATTTCGAAAATTCTTTTGAAGGATCCGATGGACCACCTGGATTCGACGGGATGAAGGGTCTTAAAGGGGAAGTTGGGTTGATAGGACGTCGTGGTGACGACGGTGACATTGGCCCCATGGGTTATTTGGGAAGAGACGGTATACCTGGAATGCCTGGTCCTCCTGGCGAAGACGGCGAAATCGGGGAAATGGGTGAAACTGGTCCACCCGGTTGGCCAGGAAAGCATGGAGAACCAGGATTACCAGGATTTAAGGGAGAACGAGGAAACACTGGTCCTGCCGGTCCGGAAGGAGGTATTGGACCACGTGGATTTAAGGGTATCACCGGAGACGCTGGTCCAGATGGTTTGGATGGACTTCGGGGTGAAAACGCGTTCAGTGGACCACAGGGTGACAGAGGAGAACCTGGTTTCATGGGAACAATCGGTGCACCTGGATTCCCCGGTGTTGATGGCAGACCTGGTCTACCTGGTGAACCTGGTTTGTCAACTGATGGATTCGATGGATTACCAGGAGAGAAGGGTGAACCTGGTTACGACGGATTCAATGGAATACCTGGACCAAAGGTGTGTATTTATAAATATTGATCATAACACATTTGTTATTATGCTGGAACAATTAAATTCAGAATAAGCAAAGTCATAGAATATAGATTCTACGGACAGAGACATCTAAAGAGTTGTAACTTCGCACAACGGTACAGTATTCAACAGAAGTATATTGTCTCTGTTTTTATAGATTATAGATTACATATTACATTGCATCTTTGAAGATATGTACTTTGTACATATACTATACTTTTTGCCCTGATAGTGCAATGTGTACATTTACAAGGGGTGTAAGATTTCGTGGGCAATAAAATTTATCTATACGCAATTCTAATGTAATAAATAGTAGAGAAAGTTATGAGATATATCATAAAATGACATTTATGGCTTCTGTGTTGAAATCAAAAAACAGAATACCATTAGCTAAAGATTCAGTTTAAGGAAAGTTTTCATTTAAAAAATAGTGCAAGTACAAAGTGCACGTGAACCTCCTATTAAACAAGCTATAATCGTGAATATATCTGTGTAATAAATCTCGAATTCCTTATCCTTTTCTGGCTTCAAGTAAGAAAACAGATATAGTTCATTACAGTTGAATAATCCTGTATACTTGCAATTAAATAATTAGTAATTGTAATAATAATTAATAATACTGATCTACATTGTTGTACTATACAGGGAGAAATTGGTGATATGGGTCCTGATGGCTTGAAAGGAGCAAGAGGTGACTGGGGATTTAAGGGACGAGCTGGTGCACCTGGTATTCATGGTAGATATGGTATAAAAGGTGCACAAGGTCCAATGGGACCACCTGGTCTCGATGGTCCCAAAGGTAAAAGAGGATTGGACGGTGATCCTGGACAAATGGGTACACCTGGTAAGCTTCACAAAAAAATTTTAAATAAAAATTCGTCGTATTTAATAAAATATCTCTATGGAAGGAATATTGGAATTCCCGTTTCTGCTATTAACACCATATTTGAAAAACTTAGCGATTACAATATCCTATTTAAACTCGCATATAATACGAAACTATTCTTCATGTATAATTACATTTACTGAAGACGATAGAAATTTCATAGTCAGCAGTCTCAAATTAGATACCATTAGAAACAGAAAGGGATGTTTTATATATCACACTGCTTATTTTACAAGAACATGCATCATTTACTATAGATGAAAATATAGAAACAACTTCTTTTCAACTATAACACTTCGATGTTTGGTACGATTTAAACAACGAGCTATTACAACTTCACACCACATTAATATTTGAACGTTTACAAAACAACAATTGTGTTTGGTATCGTTTTCGATAATTTTAGACACGTTTAATTGTTTTCAACGACTTTAACATCTTCATATCACATTTTTGTTCTACCTATATGTTTACAGTAAAATAAGTATTATAATATCTAAATTAACTCCTCTTATACAAAACAACAAACGCAATACTAGTACTGTGCCCAAATATTAATGTAAACTTGATAAAATTTGAATTCCTAAATTTTCATATTTCCAAGTTTAGAGTATCAACTGTTAGAAATATGCGATAGTCAGGCCTAAATAATTCTTCCGGCACCCTACATCTGACATTTAGTAGCAGGAGATTTAATATGTTTAAAAACAACAGTACTGTAACATACCATACGTAAATTTGCTTAGGAATGCCTGGAGACTCTGGTCCTCGAGGAGCACCCGGTTTAATGGGTACACCAGGACCAAAAGGAGAAGTAGGTGAACCTGGTCTACCATCATTTGCTGAGGCAGAGAAAGGTGATTTTGGAACCCCGGGTCTCGATGGACTACCTGGTATTAAAGGAGAACGAGGTGAACAAGGCTATGTGGGATTATATGGTCGTAAGGTAAGGTCCTATACATTTTAATTAAGAGAAAAAAATAAGGTAAGATGTCTTCAACATCTTACCTTATTAATTATTCTTTATTTGACACAATAAGAGCTTTTGCTCACAAAATCACCCTAGCTTGGTTAACACTAATACGATTATGCAATAATCATATTACAAGTGTCTTCTAATTTGTAGTACCAGCACAATGTTTATATTATTATAAGATATACATTTTTATTACGTAAAAATTAATTTGGTTGAAAAACACCTTTATCTTTATCTTTGCTTTTATCTTTGAGCGATAAAATTACTTCATAATTTCCAGACAATTCAATAATTTGATATCATAGAATTACTTAAACCTAATAAACATTCTTCTCATTGAAACTAACCACACGTTAAAAATTTTATTTTACTTGTGTTATAATAAGGATCCAAATGTAATACAAATTTCATCAATTTTGTTTATGAAATAATTGCAGGGTGAGAAAGGTGACATGGGATTCTACGGACCAAGTGGATTCCCAGGTTTGCCAGGAATCCCAGGACTTCCTGGTGATCAAGGACCTCCAGGATTTCCAGGTAAAAATAAACTAAAATAGTTAATAAATTAATAATATATAGCAGTATAATAAAACAATAATAACGAAACATTTTCCACCCCTCAATAACAAGAAACATATCAATATAATAATTTTTAGGAGCACCTGGTCAATTCGCTGAACGAGGAGAAGCTGGACGACCTGGACTTGATGGAATACCGGGTATCCCTGGAGTTCCAGGACAAAAAGGTGCTCCTGGAGATTACGGACCCGATGGTCCTAAAGGAATTCGTGGAGAGATTGGTTTCACCATTCCTGGTCCAAAGGGACGTCCAGGAGATCAAGGTTATTAATTTCTTTTTATTAATACTTGATTTACTCCATTTCAATTACTATTTCGTTTATTAAATTTCATTTCACTCATTTTATGGAATCTTAAAATACAAATTCAAATTTTAGGTATACGTAAATATTCTAGGTTCATTTTATAAAGTGAATCCTATATAGAAAGTTTAAATTATGTTATTAAAAAATGGTTAAAATGCTTAGAGAAATGCACGCGGTAAATGCAGCTCTGAATTATATTTATATTTACATTTTTTATTAGAAACAAAATTTGAAATATTAGATATGATTAAAATTTCGTGTGTCTTGATGTTCAGGTCCAAAAGGATTCGCTGGTTTCCCTGGAGCCCCAGGATTGCAAGGATTACCGAGTCCACCTGGACCACCTGGACAAAAAGGTTCTCAAGGAGATGCCGGTTATCCTGGAATCTCTGTTAAAGGACAACATGGTGATCGAGGATTTCCTGGACTTGATGGTAGAACAGGAGCGAAAGGAGAAAGAGGTGATGCGGGTCTTCCTGGATTCCCTGGACTTCCTGGACAAAAAGGAGAACGCGGTGACTTGGGCGAACCTGGTTTACCTGGAATGGCAGGTTCTCCAGGTCCAAAGGTTAGTCTGCAGTTTATAGGTGTCCCAAACATTGCGGAATAAGTCGCTAGATAATAGTTCTACATAAAAATATATATAAAAGAATAAGATTTCTTCCATATTCATCTTTGTTCTTGAGAAGAATTAATTGAAACATTCTTCAAAATATTTATGACGAAATAGTTAGTAGCGAGAGAATTTTTATATTATTTTCGTTAATAGATGTTATAAAATGATAGACAGAAATATTAATTAAATATTTACATTAAGCTAAAATGAATTGTTAGTTGTTACCTTTTTGTGTAACTATGGCTGATATTTTTGATACACTACTGTATAACTGATACAAGAATACATCATCAGTGTTTTAGATAATAACTAATAATATAACTTTTATAATATTAATAATTGAACTAATTAATTTATAACAATCGTTACCACCCGAAGTAACCAAAAAATTATCCTAATTGTCATCGTCATTTTTATATTCAAATTCTTGCAAATCTTTTGAGGAATGTTTCAATTAATTTATAATAGCACCAAATTTGATATAGCACCAGCATTCGATCGTTTATACATCAATTTTTAAAACATCTTGCAAAGTATCATTACTTTCTTCTTCATACTTTTACCTTCAACTATATTTTTTAAAACTTGCCGACATTTTCGAGAAAAATATATTCTTCGTTCCTTAGACTGTGTGGAACCACGATGTGAAGGAATATTTTAAATTACAGAAATTATTAAGAAGCTTTTGCCAGAATGTACATGAACTTTTACCAGGATAAAGAGTTATTGAATATGCTATTTTGCATATCATCCCTCATTTATTTATTTTTCTACTTTAGTTTCGATTTAAAAATACATCCGTAAATGTAGTGTCAACTTTAGTTTAAATTCACTAGAACTATATTATAAATATACATAAATTTTGTGGAGATAAATTAAAATTCGATACGGTTGTTGAAGAAAACTACCATAATGAGTTTCGATATTATGTAAACACATAACGCGTTGCACTGAAAATTTTATGAAAAAATGATAAATCTTTTACGTTTCTTCGTTAATCAAATATGTATTATGTAAAGAAAGCAAATCTATTATAAAAAATGAATTGATAGCTCTACTATTTTATAAATAATCTTCCTCTTATTATGAATCAATATTCCTTTATAATACTTTCGTTATGAATTGACATTTTGCGGCCTTAATTTATTTTTGATCATCCTCGGTGATGTCTAGAAGTAAACAGAAAGTGAACTGCTGTTGTGTAGCACCGCAAATGTACTCTAAAGTGGGTACGTGTCACCTCTTTCACTACCCGTCAAAATGAATAAGCTACTGTTATTATCAATTATTAACATACAAAACCTATCTATAAGATACAACCAAATAGTCACGTAACCTCTAATTCTAAGAGTTAATTAAGTGAATTATGTTGCTTAACAGGGACCAAAAGGAGATCAAGGTACCAATCCATTTTCACCTTTCCCAAGGAAAGGAATACCTGGAGACATAGGACTTTCTGGACTGCCAGGTATTATCAATAAAAAATATCACAGTTTAATCATAGCAACAATTAAACATAATAAAAATTATAAAATTGTATAAATAATTTTTATGTAGGTTTCCCTGGACAGCAAGGAATGATGGGTGAACCAGGAGAGGACGGCTTGCCTGGAAGAGTAGGGGAACCAGGAATGATGGGACCACCAGGACTTCCAGGTCTTGATGGCGAACAAGGTCGTCCCGGTTATGCTGGTCCTCCCGGTTCTGTTGGACGACAAGGACCTCCAGGTAAATAATAACTTATTAACTAATCTTCTATTTTAACATACATTTCCTTCTATAAATCATGGAGAACTTAGTAGTTTTAGCTCCACTAGTTTTAGCTAGTTTTAGTTAAAGTATGTAATTCTTAGTTAGTCATTTTGCTCCTGATTTTAATGATCTTCGATTTATGCTGTTGAATCAAAACTATTATTAAATCTAGTAATAATGAATTAAAACTATTATTAAATAAAAATATTATGTTAGGAACGTTTGACTATTGAAGTACATTGACATAATTAAACTTTGTTACTTGTCGATGAGGAACGTGTTTCTTTCTTCTTCAATTTTCATTTAAGAATTTTGATAGATAACTTACTACATTAATATTTTGGAGGAAAGAATTATGGCCAAACCTAATGAATGACTAAAATCTATAAAATTCCGAAACAATTTGAGAAAAAGAAATTGACAATGGATTGATAACTTTTCAATTTTATTCCGTTTTCCAAACACTGCAATAACATCATGTACACCTTTTATTCTTTATTATATATCACAAAATTTTAAATTGCGATTTTTTAGGATATCCTGGACTGCCAGGACCTCCAGCGCCTCCAGCTCCGGGCCCACGAAACAGAGGCTTCTACTTTGCTCGACACTCGCAATCTGAAATGATACCTATATGTCCACAAAACACCGTAAAACTCTGGGATGGTTTCTCCCTGTTGCACATAATGGGTAACGGAAAGCCTTACGCACAAGATCTGGGTAAGAAAAAAATCTTTTGCTCGAAAACCGTAAAAGTAAAAATTGTAAACTTGGTTTCCTAGATAATTCGGTGTTTTATTTATTATTTACTTCTCAGCGAATTAGTAATGACAATATTTCGATAGTGGAACGCAATGACTACTCGTTAATTCTCTGTCATATAATTCCCCGTTAATATGCATTCGTTACGCATGCGCCCCACACTGATGTCTAGATAACCAATGAATGTATTGGAATCTGATATGGGGATGTAACCTAAATCAATGACTACATACAAAATAAATATTAATTTATATTGTTTTATAAGAATCGTGACATTTTTTAAATTATTTTACATAATACAGTAGATATTAACTTACATTAGTTCATAAGGACTGTAACATTTTAAAAATTATTTTATATGATAGAGTGAATATTAATTTACATTATCTTAAAGAAAAACTGTGATATGTCTTGAATTATGTTAATTAATAGAGATAACAAACTAACAGAGTTGCTGGAAGTGCCTGTATCTTAATATATGTATTATAATGTTATAAAAGAGGTTTACGTGATGATACCACTAATGAAAGTACTGCTATACTATAAAATATTAAAATTATTATTTATTCATTGACACATCTATATTACATATGTATCAGTTTACAATTTATACAAACATCAAAATATTACAATTGATAAATTTAATCAAAATTATTACAACCAGGAATTTATCAATTTTACTAATTTATTACAAACTTGTTCACTATTTGAATTTAAATGCAAAATGCAGCTTTTGCATAAAATCAAACATTAATAAATTTATTACCATTAAAAATTGGTAAACTCTCGCTAATTATCACATACATAGATAGTTGTAAATATATTTTCTTTAATCGATATAAGTGTTAGATATTTCGAAAATCTTGAATGTTTTCACAAATCGAAAGAAATACATATAAAACTGATTTAAATTTAAAAATCCAGAGATGTATGGATCCTCGAAACGTTAATTGACGATCTTTTGTTCAAGGTGCTGCCGGAAGTTGCGTCAGGAAATTCTCCACCATGCCTTTCATGTTCTGTAGCATCAACAACGTGTGCGATTATGCAAATCGCGAAGATTACAGTTATTGGTTGAGTACAACTGAACCTATGCCTATGTCCATGACGCCGATACCAGCACCAGAAGTTGGAAGATACATTTCTAGATGTTCCGTTTGTGAAGCACCAACTCGTGCAATTGCGGTGCACAGTCAAACCATGACAATACCACAGTGTCCGGGTGGTTGGGACGAACTTTGGATCGGATACAGTTTCCTCATGGTAAATATATTCAGATAATAGCACACACATTTTTTTCTATCATTTAATAATTTCTTTTCTTATTCTTATACACGTTAATAAATATTTACATATATATTTTTTATGAAATTCAAGATTTTTTAAATCTATTTTTATTTATAATAGTAACTTATTGAAATTTGTAATTCTATTCAATTGCAAATACTTTAATACTTTGTACTGCCGCGTCACGTATATAATATCAAAGACGTTTAGACTTTCATACAAATTTGTAAAGCATGCTATTAGAAATCTGTTCACTTACCTAACCGGAAATACTTATACTGACTGCATCGAACTATGAAGAATAAATATTAAAAATATTCTGGAAACATTTGATACGATTTATTAAAAATACAAATTTTCAATTGCTGTGGCAGTCATGTTAAACAAATTTTAACATTTTCTATAAGGAACCTTTGTAATTTTCCTTCCAAACTTTTGAACTTAACAGATTTTCAAATTTCTAAACTTTCAAGTTTCCAAATTTCTCAATTCCAATTTTGGGTGTGCCAATGGAAAATGGAATGGTAGAATCCTACGTATTTATTTTTATAGCATAGTTTCAATTTAAGTATAAGTAGCCGTTAAACGTCCGTAAATCTAAAATTAATTGTTCATTCTACTTCGCTCAAATTCCACAACTTCTCTCTCTATTCGCATTAACGATAGTGTCGATATATCAATAAAGTATGAATAATAGATAGTTAAATCTCTACAACAAACTAACATTCGACAAAATTTACAGCACAGGGACGCAGGTGCAGGTGGTGGTGGTCAATCTTTGATCTCCCCCGGTTCGTGTCTTGAAGAGTTCCGCGCAAGGCCATTCATAGAGTGTCGAAGTCTCGGCACTTGCAACTACTTCTCCACTGCCACATCTTACTGGCTAGCCACCATCAAAGAACACGAGATGTTCCGTAAACCTCTACCGCAGACATTGAAGACTGACCACACATCACGCGTCAGTCGCTGCGCAGTTTGTATTCGTCGTCGTATGAACGAAGACGGCAGCCAGCTAAAGCCTTTCACATCGAACGGACACCAGGAGGCAGTAGGCAACATCCGGTATCCGCCTCCTCCACGTTATCCTGACTATCAATACCACAGGCAGCCTCCTGTAGGAAGAACAAGAAATCCACACAGACGCATACCGTACCATTTTCGAAAGAAAGGACGGTCCCGTAAAACAGAACGAACAACGGAGACTCCGGAAGCTGCTTAGAACGCATCTAAGTGTTAGAAGGGTTACGAAGTGACGTGAAGAGCAGCAGCGAACCTATGTGTATATAACGAGATTATCGGACCTGTTAGTTAAGTTATCGCGTCTTTGTGTGGCGTTGCCGAGAGAAACGATGAATACGAAACGCCATAAGCGTGTGGCTACCTATTCGTGGCTTATGCCAAAAATTCACCGGGGACAGAAGTCCCGTTGAAACTGCCAATCGACGTCCGCTACGGGGCGCGACGAATCCCGTGTAACATTGAATTTAAATTAATAATACACATATTGTATGATGTATGGCTATTGTAATAACTTGTTTATGTATGTATCTGCATTGAGTATAAAATAAAAAGTCTTTTGTAGAAGCTACCGAATACGACATTCTACGCCTTCTTAACCCTTCTTTGGACTTTCGAATCTGGTTCTATATACTTGCTGTCGACAACCTTCTACTTGACATGCAGGAAAGAAAGGACGTAAAGGAAGCTACGCTCCTTTACTGTATATTGAACAGTCCCAATGTGTCGTTCTGACATCCGAAGTGACCACTTGAGCCGTTTGCCGACTACCCTTGTTCTTTGACTCAATTGTTGTGCGTTACCAACTTGAGCCAATCGTTACTACCGCTAAAAATACATGTGAGTCTAGGAATGCATTTTTTATTGTGTCTATGTGGAGCCACATTAAAATCACATATCAAGTTCAGGGTTGTCGATATTAATTGATCCTTATTATACGGCCCCAGATTTGGTAAGAACGAACAAATTTTACAATTGACATTAAAAGTAGTTATTCACCATTCATTATAGATGAGGAACAGTATCTTTTATAATCATGAATCATCGGAAAATATATTTTAATTTTAACGAAAATATTTTTCCAATTATTAATTCATTTAAACTTTAGTGGAAGTTTTAAAAGAAGATTCTTATCATTTTCCAATTTTATTGATTTTATACGCTTTAATATTTTTTACAAAAAGCAAAATTTTTTGATAAGGTTTACAAAAAATATTAATTAAAATTAATCTATCGAAAATAACTAGTAATTTTTAAATACAATGTTTAAAGTGCTGCAAATTATTAACCGTTTAATTTCACAACTTAAGTGAAAGAACCAATTTTGTAAAAAATCAAATTCTCTATAAAGACGTGTATTTTAATTATTTTTATTAGTCATAAAAAAACGTTGCACAGATTGTTGAGTTATTTCGTGGGCGATAAATAAATAGCACAAGAAGTCTCTTTAATATAACTTTAACATAATAATGAACATATTAACACAAATCAAACCTGCACGTGCATATCGCAACGTGTCTAGCACGCGAGGGGAAAACGGAAGAAGGAAAAACAAAAGAACTTTGAATCTCCCTTCAATACAGATAAATAAAGGAATTTCCCATTTAATAAAGATGGCGAATTTTATTTCAAATGCACCAATTCCATATTTAAGCTACATAGCTAGCCCATGAGAACAACTTTTTTTATACTAATAACTAATTTTTTTCAATTTAAGAACAAAGGACATATCGATTTCTTTAACACAGTTTATGGCAACCGGTCACACAGCTTGTAATAACATCCTAGTTGTATCTAGCTCCAATACCATAGCAAAGAATTGGCTGTGCCACAGGATCAATGGTGATCCTTCCTCATCATTATGACGGGGTGTCCACCTGAAAGAATTGGAAGTTTGACCTCTCCGTGACTAAGAGCGCCTCTGCCTTTTCTTCTTCTACTTTTTTTTTTTTTTTTTTTTTTTTTACGGGGGAAGGAAATGCATTTACGCACACCCATGGATCATATGGGTTATGTGGGACTCGGCGTCGTTATAGTGCAGTGACGCAATACCCACTAAAACCTTCCACCAGGGAACAAGCTTATGCTTATAGTGTATTAGCACTTTCTAAGAGCATGTAATACCAATTTATAGGGACAGCAACACGGATCATGGTTCGCCGATTCGAGAAAGGCATTACGAGCCCGTGTCTTGGCTCCACGGATGGCTTCCTGCATGGTCTTCTTCTTTTCTCGGTACGTTTCCAGCAGCTGTTGCTCCAATGTTTCATTGGAGCTACTTTTTCTACGAGCACGTTGGTACTGGCGGCGAGCAGCGAAACAATTACTGCGCAACCGTGCAATATCATCCGTCCACCAGTATGCTGTTCGTCTTCGGTCTCCCTTGGTCTGGGGCATAGCGCAGCCGTACATCACAGATACCGCCCAGCGAAACCATTTGTCCACATCCGCAATTGGCCTAGTTGGACCATCGTCTATGCAACGGAAACAACGTAGCAAATTCCCTGGGGGAAGTATCATGATTTTCGAAGAGCTCCATCCCACCGTGATCCTTTTCTTAGCTGCTATCTTGTTTGCGGCGGGCAGGGGACATCGCACCAATACGGCCAGCAAACTGTCAGATCCCATCTTGACTGTACCGACCTTCAGATCCTTTTCTGAGCAGCCTGCTGTCGCTGCCACCACTGTCGCCACCTCGTCTGAGGTCACAGAGTCATCCATCTGCGAGATGCGGAAATCTGCATACGTAATGGGATGGACGATTGTTGCTTCAGACTCTTTAAACACCTTGCTAAGGAGCCTAGCTAATGCCTCCGCTTTGATTGCCCGCTCTTCTAAGGGGATTTCTAAGACTATCTCACTAATGACTTCCGTGATACCCGCGTCAGAAAGATTAACCTTCGCTTTAGTTTCAATCATTACTTCACCATGTGTCAATATGACCGTCGCAGTCTTAGGCGGTTTCGGCGACTGGGGAGCAGGCTTTGCTACCTTTTGCTTTGCTACCTTCTGCTTTCCACCAGCTGCCTTGCTTGCTGTCGCCTGGGATTGCGACGAAGACCTCGATGCTGCCTCTTTCTTGGTGGCCCGGGCCTCCTTTCTACCTACCACCTTCTTCCAAGTCGTTTCCGCCTGAGCTGTAGACTTAGCGGTGGAGGAGGCCACTAGTAAAGGCTCTTGTTCATCCTTCAACCTTATGTCCTCCTGGATGATGGATTCCCGTCGAGGAGGAGTGGGCTCCCTGTGGGTACCGTTCGAAACTTTCTCCTCCTTCTGTTGTTTCTTTTTGCTCTCAAGGTCCTCTATTTGGCTCTGTGGGTCAGTTTCCGCCTTCCTCTGGAAGGAGAGAGTTTGTTCCCGGTTTTTTAAGAGCTCTTCCCGCATGGCCGCGATCGTAATTTCCAACTGATTAATCTTTTCCAGAATGAGCTGGAAGAGACTTGAAGACTTCTCCTCTTCTCCCTTTTCCTTTCCTTTAATGTTCACTGACTCTGGGGGAGATTTGGAGAAATCTGTCCTTCTCTTTTCTTCAGGAGGAAGCAGCGGCGCTTCCACTTTTATCGTCTGATGCGATAGTTGTTGTACCTCTGCTTCTTCACGTTCTGTGTAGCTAAGGATCGTTTGCTTCATTTCCCTCGCCTCCCTCCTCATAGCCTCCAACTCGGCGGTGCGTTCCCTCAGCTGGATTTGAAGTATTCTCACCTTCTCCTGCAATCGAGGTACATCGTCCAAAGATGAGAGCAGCATACAGGCATGCAGGAACGACATTTGAAAAATGCGGCTCCTCTCCCTTATCGTCTTTACATGTATGCTTTCGAGATACCCCGAGCTTGATGCGATCTTTTCTAGGATGAGCATCTGCTCGATCAACTTGCTCACAATATCCTCAATTGAGCAGTTAGGCAACATCGCGCTGCAGCCTAGTACTTCCAGCGTGCCTTCCATTAGTGCGCGTGCCAGAGAAGCAGGACTCGGCAGTAGTGTCTCGTCGCGATCGGCCTGGGTTGCATTAATTGCTCCTGCCGTGCCAACAGACTTCCCTTCCTTACTTTTACTCCTCACCCCACTTATCTCATCATCCGCCACAACTACTGGTGTATCATGAACGGACGTACCCCTTGCGATCTCTGCCTCATATGCTACCTCAGTTTCCAGCTCTTCCACCGCTATCGTCGAAGTAGTGGATGTCGTTATTGTTGAATCACCGTCGTTGTTGAAGTATGTCACCTGTCGTAGTCTGGCCGTCCTAGGCTTACGTCTAATAGATAACCTACGCCCTGTACAAATTCTCCCTTGTAGCTGTCTAGGAGAAGATCGTCGTTTCTCCTGTGAGCCAATTGACTGGGCCTCTCGATCATCATTAGTTACAGAATTGGTATCCTCCTCATTGGTGACACAGATATCTCCTTCCCCACGATTCCTCCTCGCAGCGTCATCCGGGGCCGGGGGAACCGGGACATCTCCCCCTACTCCCGGGCGCGCAACAATATCTTGTTTATACTCCCCCTTAGTTTTGAGGCCAGATGACATGATTACCTCTTTAGAAGAACGACCTTCGTTTTTCGTCATGACTGAGCCTACGCAATCTTCTGATGCGTCGCTGTATTCTAACATATCCAACGCTTCGCTGTGGGAAACTGGAACGGGGAAGCGCACCGTGCTCCCCTTACAGCCCCTTCGCGACTCCTTCACGTCATTGTCTGGTGTCGGCCAAACTGGGCACGTCACCCCAGTCTCCATTTTTCTTCTCAATTTTCTTTTTTTTATACGATGATGATTCATATTAAGATGTTTTTACAAAGGTTTCGAGCGTCCAATCTACCCCCTACCGCAGTAACGGGCTTTTCCACCTTAGATATTGTCCCTACTTATACGATGGCGAAGCCGAGAAGCGGCTTGTCAGGTGGTCGGCCCTATCGACATCGAGTGACTCTAAGAAAAGGTTACGGGATAGGCCCGCGCCATGCTGATGCTATAGGTTTTTACCGTCACCCCTATCGAATGGGCGACGCCAGATCCGAACTGACGCCTGACCCAAACCTCAGGCAAGACGGGCTGCGATTTTATATCCCTACGCAGCGTCGAGTATGAGGAACCAGCGACCAACAGGATCCTCCATCCCCCCGCTCAGACACGACGACTTTAACCCCTGCATTGGCTCCAGACAGCTGTACAAGTTGGCTTCACTCTACATATCGCTTCAGGGCCTCTTTGCCTCACAAGAGGTCTTACGGTTCGGCCATCTTCCACGACAGCGGTCGGGATCCACCAACTTGCACAGCCCCGGTCGGGGGGCTACTACTCCACCCCTTGGCTAGTCTACAGGGAATATCCATCGCGGACTGACCGGGACCCATTCATACAACCATTCATACGACACACGCTTCATGCCGCCCCATTTCGATCCTCCGCTCGAGCTTTACCGGCATGGGAGTCCCTGCCAGGGTCCGAAGACCCCACCGGCATCACCTCGCACATCATTGGACTTACTTAAGTGACGACACGAACACCCCTTTTAGTCGCCTCTTACGACAGGCAGGGGTTACCTTGGCTGCATTCTGCTCCTCAGCCACAAGGAGATCGCCGTCCTCCCGTTATTACAGAGGCACTTTCACCGTTGGGTGCTCGACTTGCAGCCTACGCACCGAACAGCATAGAGCGCCTTCGTTCCAGTGGCCACCACGAGGAGGTGGGAGGTCCGACTTGTGCTTGCCAGACACCATTTCACCACCCATTACGTCTACCTCACAATAGGCATCTTCAAAATTGTATAATAATAAAATCTTTGCGATCGCAGATTTATTTTTAAAACCAGGCTGACTTATATCTCTTTTTACGTATTAGAAAGATGATTTGAGAAACTACATCAAAACATAAGTTAACGTTCATTTATAATTGAATTTTATATTAACTTGTACTATTACTTTGTACTTGTACTAGTACCGTGTCAATCAATTAAAAAAAAAAGAAATAAATGTTTATTGTAAAATAATTAATTTCAAAAATTGGAAGCATTTAGCAATATTCTATGCTATAGGACAGGTCGTAAAATTGCTAAACTGCAGATCGTACCTTAGCTCATCAAGTATCGGTGATGTCAATCTCAAGACAACGATCATGCCATAAAACAACTAAAAGACAATTATAAATTTCTGAGCTTAGCGATAGTGTACGCATCCCGGTATTATGATCGCTATTAACACGCTATTTTTACGACTACATTTCTTATATTAAATGAGTATTTAATTTATTGGAATTGTGAGACTTTTATTGTGTATCAGTCACTACAAGAGACCACAAATTGGTGACCCTAACACATACACGCCGTTTTCGTAACAAGTGTTCAGAAGTTTATGACTTATGATAGTAACTGGGGCATCAACAACCTCCAATTCAAAAGAATACTTATGTTACGGATAGAACTGGTCGAGCGAGGAATCTCAGAGCATAAAACGAGAATTTAAAGATATACAGACGATTCAATGAAATTAGCGGAGTTTTCGAGGGCGACTGATCAAGAGCAGTAGGCATGGCGAGTCCCGTGTCTCGAAGCCCTACGTGCACGGGGAAACCTGTAGTCATATTCCTTGAGCATCATGAGTGTTTGAATATGAAAAACATCACCGTAGCACCGGGGATAAAGAATCCCCTCCGGAGTGGTGGTGCTCACCACAACACCGAGAGCTACTCCGCACGAGAGAAGTGAGAACCCGAGCGGGAGCGAGCTAGCTTACCCCGCGCTCCGGCTGGCTGCGAGATCGGTCGCACTCGAAGACTATAAATAATTAATTTTCTAAGAAATGTACGCGTGCATGGTGCACGTGGCAAATGGCATGTGGCAAGTGGCACGTGGCACATGACACATGCTCTGAAATTCCAAATAAAACGCAAATTAATAAATATTTGATCTACCGCGGAATATCGGTGAACCCTGGTGCGCACTTCGGCAGAAAAAAAAGACATTCCTCGGCGACGACTCCTGACGTGTAATTTTATAGAAACGCGTACAAAGGTGCGGACCGCTCCGTTTCATGGCGGATGCCGGCAAGTGCCAGCGCAACATCGGTATCGGCGCGCGGCGTCGCGGTGCGTAGACTCGGCCGCAAAGGGCGGGCGACATCGCGAGGTTCGGCGGTTCAGTCGTAGAGGAATGACCGCGGAGCAAAGAATCGATGGAGGGCACGTGACAGATTTCGAAGAAATCGGCATGGTTGCCAGAAGACGTCGTAGGAGAATGAAACATAAAATGAGCGAGGGCACCGGGGCCAGGGCTTCACTTCATTTTTGTCATTGCGCAGAGACACTTTCGTTACTTGAACAAACCTCTTGTCTACCTGATTGTGATACATTCGTTGGTATTATTAAATTGTCAAATTGCCTTTTCGTTTAACACTCGCTGCAGGACTTAATTGCAATACATTTGTTATACGTCAAATGAAATACATTTTTGTTACAACTGAAGTGACAATAATAGAAGAAATCTCACCTACTAACCAAAAAAGGCGAGGAACAACTACTCAACATGGAAGATCACCAAAAAGTAGCCATACGTAATAATCACTAACCCAACTTGCTGCCATATTTAGCATGCCATGTTGATATTCGTGAAAACTGAAATCTCTGGACTGAAGACTGAGAGTAACAACATCAGATATTACTCAGTTCTCCTAGCTCTAGGCGAACCAACACGGTAACTCATCAACGTAATCGAACATCCCTCAGCATAAGATAAATACAATTTTCTCAAGGCAAGTGTCACTGATCGTTTCGATGAATCTAAAAAAGAAAGATTACAATTACTAAAAGGTGTTTCACTAGATTATAAAAAACCTTACATTTACTTCCGTTTATAATAGCTTAGAAGATCATTTTAAAATAAAAGTCATAATTTTCGAGATTATAAAAAAATAAGATATTTTCAGAGTTACTATATTTTTTTACAAACGTGGTACAGTGCTCAATGAACAGATATAATTCTTTAATTAAATAGCCTAAATTAATCATAAAATCACTGCAGTTTATACATGTACAATTTACGGGTTTAGCTCTTTCGTGCGTCGAATACTGCTACCAGTACGCGCCCATCATGCGGGACAGGCGGGATATCTCACTCGGGCCCAATGTTTCATAGGGGCATCTACGGACCCTTAAGTTCCTTTTTTAAATAAATTAGTATAAAAACGTAATATAATACAATTGCCAGGATATTTTGTACAGAAATCAGTCATGCCCGAACGGAAAGTATAAAATGTACGTATAACTCCGGCCATAATAATATTTCTTGCATAAGAGAAATTATAAATTCTAATTTATCAGTATTTTTTCTTTGGACCCGTAGTTTACGTATGTGAAATTTGATCAAAGTGGTTCAATTTATTATTAAAAAAATTTGCAAAATGTTAATTTTTAACATATTTTTTAAACAAACAAATTTTTCAAAAATTCACTTACGCCGTATTATTGGCCTTCCAAAATAGACAAATTCGCATTCTAAATTTTTTACCTAAATCTAATAGTTCCCGAAATATTTATGAAAATAGCTTTATCATCCCTAACTTTAAGGGTTATATTCACCACTTCAAAGAGGACATTCGCCGATAAAAAAAATACGTGTCAAATATTTTTTCGAATTCTATAACATATAAAAATTTCATAAAAATCGGCGTGTATTAATTGGGTGATGTCACATTACAAATAGCGCACGATGTAAGGTACGTTATTTCATTTTAAGTAGGTTAAAATCAATGTCTATCAACTAAGTCCTATCCCTTGTGAGATTCGTATTGTCAAATTGGTTTCTTTTCCAGAAAACTTAGTAAAAGAGAAAAACGATACAGTACATACAATCATAAGCTTCTTACTATTTTCATTATCATCAAATATTTTTGTCATTACTTGGAATTTTGACACTTCATTGCAAAAACAAATAAGAAGCCATTGACTTATGCATTCACTAAAAGTACTTAAAACTTGATTTCTTATCTGAATTTACTAGTGATAGTAAAAGGAGACATAACAACATAATCGTTAACACACTCTTATCAATGAATACAATTTCAGTACCAACAAATGCTCGAGCCTAAAATAGTCCAAATAATGCAAGTGAACAACAAAGAGTTGATAGAATTTCTATAAAATAATTCTTTGTTAAAACTTCAAAAACTTGAAGTCATGTCAAATATGAAATTCTACTGCAATGTAACAGATAGTATAGTCCATTTACATTTACCACTATTTTTGCGTAAGACTGTCTTTAACATTATATGTAACCTCTTGCATCCTAATCGAAGAATCATCTTGATCTAATTCAGGGAAAAATTTGCATTGTCTGATATCAAGAAGGATGCAACTGCTTGGACCATGAGTGCATTTAATGCTAAAAATTCAAAGTCTATCGACATAATAGACTAGTATAGACCTAATTATATCAAAATACTTAAATCCAGATCTAATCACGTTCATTTAGATATAATTGCATTACCAACAACTAATAACTATCAATATTATTTAATCATTATCAATTATTTCACCAAGTGGCTTGCAGCAATTTCTCTCAAGGGCACGACAGTAGAAACAATTATGACAGTCTTATTTGACCATTGGATAAACAACTATAGTACACCGATCAAAATAACGATTACCTAAGACTCAAAAATTGAAACAATTATTTAAAGAATTTGATAACTGTGGGTGCTAACAAAATTAGAACTACTACTTACCACTCATAACTGAATGATTTGATTAAAAAGTTTCAATGTACATTAAAAGCTGCACTTCTGTGGGCCAAACTCTGGATACTGATCCTATCTGCAGTGGTACTTGGTTTAAGAAACAGCTTCAAAAAAACTCTTCCATTTTCTGCAGCCAAAATTTTATACGTAATTAATATACAAATACAAGAATTTTGAATTTTAAAAGTTACAACCTAATCCTCAGATATTTAAAAAAAAACGTAGAATTCGCACGTGACTTGTGTTAAACTCTTACAGTCATTCAAAGATTAAAGTATTTATTCTAAAAAATTTGTATACCTGTTTATACGTCTTTGTCTGTTGCGATAAGTCAAAGTCGCATTACAAGCTTCATATACCGGTCCTTTTGAAGATAATTGGGAGAATTTCGAACAGACTTTTCAAAATTAAGATGAACAATACGCATTAAAATATCTTCGTAGACGGACTGAAACAGTATAAATCAATAAATCGTGTGACTAGAAAAAACAACTGAAGACTCAATCATTTGTCCACAATTCCACTACTACAGATTAACAAATACTTATCCGGCTTTCTTTCTTTGTTAACAACTATCGTCATCAGAACCACCTTACAGAAATCCATCGACTCCGACAGAAACAAGTAAACTGCACGGGGATTCACCTTTGAATCCCCTTCGATTGTTCAGCAACCGGCAAATTGCGTTCAAGCTTTCCACAGAAAGTTATTTAGCGAAAGTGACTATGGCGACAGTCGTGCAACCACACACCATAGGCGAAAGAAGAGGGCACTGCAGGCCTCAAATAAAAAACAGCCAGAAACAATGGTGCATTTCCGAACTTAATTTTGTCTATGTTCAACTGTTTTTTTTGGTGTCCCTATGCGTATTAGCTTCTAACATTCTTTTTTAAAATTAGGCGCACGCGTCTTAGAAACTAGGATTACCAACTACTTGTTCTGAAAGGTACTAAAACTACAGTTTTATGAATTATAACTAACTAACCCTAACTTTAATATGGTAACATCAGAGGACGCATGAATCTGTTGCCTGCATGTAGATAATATTAATGCCTGTTTTTTACTACCTTTACATCCGTGGATAAAATCAATTTCTATATTTATGTAATTGAGCGAGCGAGCCGAAGGCGAGCGAAGCTCTTACACTTGACTTTGTAACTTCTTTGTCCGCGTTTTTCTTTTGTACCACTCAACCAATTCTCATCAAATTTCGCACGCACATGCGCATGTAAGTACATCTAGATGGACATAGAAAAAAAATTTTAAATGCATTAAAGTCTACGCGGATATGGTTTTTTGGTAATTATTCCTTCGCGGCATGCGCGGGCGTCGCGCGGGAGGAATATACACGACAATGAGTATGCAAAATCGTTAATTACTCACTTTCTGAGCACAGTCTATGAACTTTTATGATTAAATAATGGTCAGCAATGCATTATTTACATGGTGCGATCATAAAAGTTCGTAAATAATGTTCGGGTAATGAGTAATTAATTATATTGTTGCAGCCTTGCGATACGTACATGAGCCGCCTATGTCAATTCTACTGCGCATGCAAAGTGCAATATTTCGGCACTTTGACGACGCAGTATGGTCCCTGAGGCATTTAGAAACAAATTTCTATTAGGGTTTGATGCGTTTTGATGCCTAATAAAGCCAGAAAATCAATTTTTGTCGAATTTGGTCCAAAACGGTACAGGTGGCGCCATCTAGCGGCGAGCGGCGAAACTATGGAAAACTGAAATTTCGATTTTCTCCGAAATTAGGCAATTTTACATATTTCTGAGGGTCAGAAATTGGTCTGCGCCCTCTTTAGAATCTACATAATGTCACAAGAACCTCCTCAGAGCGCTAGAAAAGAAACTAGAAAAATAGTCCAAAACGTGGACTGAAAAATTGGCGTCCATCTAGCGGTGAAAGTTGGAACTACAAAAACATAAAAATGCGATTTTCTCGAAAATTAGCGAACTTAGAGGAGTTAAGCGAATTTTGAGTACTTCTGAGGTTCGGAAAGTGTTATATGATAGCATTAGGACCAAAATAACGCAATACAAATTTCATGAAAGCTTTAATAAAGAAAATGAAAAAAATGTCATTACATGGAGAAAATTTGTGGCGCCATCTAGCGGCGAAACTGCGAACTAAGCCGAAAAACCGTTTATCTGAACACGCGTTAAAGAAAAATATAAAAAGTATTATTTCGCAACTCTGACGACGCAGTAGGCTTCTTTAAACATTTTAAAGCAATTTTTGTTAAATAAGATATTCATTTTATTGCCTATTAAGCCCAGAAAATCAATTTTTATTTGACTCCCTAACGCGTGTCGGACATACGGTTCTTCGGTTTAGTTCGCAGTTTCGCCGCTAGATGGCGCCACAAATTTTCTCCATGAAATGACATTTTTTTCATTTTCTTTATTAAAGCTTTCATGAAATTTGTATTGCGTTATTTTGGTCCTAATGCTATCATATAACACTTTCCGAACCTCAGAAGTACTCAAAATTCGCTTATTTTCGAGAAAATCGCATTTTTATGTTTTTGTAGTTCCAACTTTCACCGCTAGATGGACGCCAATTTTTCAGTCCTTGTTTTGGACTATTTTTCTATTTTCATTTCTAGCGCTCTGAGGAGGTTCTTGTGGCATTATGTAGATTCTAAAGAGGGCACAGACCAATTTCTGACTCTCAGAAATATGTAAAATTGTCTAATTTCGGAGAAAATCGAAATTTCAGTTTTCCGTAGTTTCGCCGCTCGCCGCTAGATGGCGCCACATGTACCGTTTTAGACCGAATTCGACAAAAATTGATTTTCTGGCTTTATTAGGCATCAAAACGCATCAAATCCTAATAGAAATTTGTTTCTAAATGCTTCAGGGACCATACTGCGTCGTCAAAATGCCGAAACATGCACTTTGCATGTGCAGTAGAATTGACATAAGCGGCTCATGTACGTATCACAATGCTGACACAAAATAATTAATTACGTATTACCCGAACATTATTTATGAACATTATTTACGAAAAAGAAACCCGTTTCACGTAATTTCAGCCAATTTGGAGCATGAAAATTTTTGGAAATACAGCCCACTACTACCACGCTCTCAATAATATCAAATTTTATAAATAAGCTCCATTTATTGCAAGAAAAAACACAGTGAAGGGCAAAAGTATTCGCATACTTAAAATATCGAAAAAAGGAAGAACAATATTTTCTATATTACTAAGTATATGTTATCATACATAGCTACATATTAAACATTACACTTATAGCAACAAATGACACAAAACCGAATACAATAACATCATGTAGTAACTTGAAATGACTTGAAATTCATGAGATCGTAAGAAATCGCCGGGATAAAAAAAAATTGGTCTTGCATCTCGGTGTAATTCGATTCATATTATAATCAATTAAGCTAATAAAATCAACTATATTAATTGAATTGAAAACGATACACACGGCTCCAATGTGTGAGACCTAATGAAACTACAGTTTCAGAACCTGTAGTTTAGCTATTCACCGAAGAGGTGGCTCCACTTGTCCCATTTTTGCAGGAATTGTTTTCCTATATTTTAATAATCAATTAATTAATAACTTTATAAAATAACTAATTTTATTGAATTTGATTCTGAATTTAATTTTTAACACGTGTTCTTGAATTAAGGTTTGATTACAGAATGAATAGTAAGCGATTTTGTTTTTAAAATAAAATTGAATACGATCAAACGACGATTGCTTTAAACAGTAATCATTTGTTCACACATAAAAATAGAACTCTTTTTGATCGACGGCTTTGACAATAGATCTTCTTAACCGACGAGTCTGATGATCACCACATTTTCGTGATAATTCAATTAACAGTGATGTTATTAGCTTAATTTACTGTGATATGCATCAAATTACATCGGAAGACTAATTAACTTAGGAACGTCGTGACTTCGGTTTTTTGAGATTCAAAAAAATTTGTTACCATTTTCTTATCATTTCCTATCTTACCAACGACATCTTATGTCACGTGCAATAGATATATGTGCATGTATATTCACATGCATATACAGGATAGCTCACCACATTTTGCTATCTAGATTTGCGTTATTATTATTACTCATAACAAACAATGTTTTAGATGAAGTTGAGTGGTTTTGAGAAGAGCATATGCTAGTGGTATATCTTTTTTTTGTAGGTGGACGTGTAAAGGACATATGGAGGTCATTAATGTTTTTTTAAATGGAATCGTATATTTTTTATTGCATCAACTGATACTTCTTCATATTCTTTACAAAAAAGTATTAATCTATTTATGTGAAAAAATTATTAGTTTAGAAGGTATTTTAATTTTAATGCTATTTACAGACAAGGTTCAATATGACGACCACTTGCATCAGAATACTTTCTGAATCGAGAAATTAATGACTTACTAACATTCCGTAGTGTATAATCTTTCTGCATGTGTAGCACTTTTCCCAGCTTCCAAATAAACTGATAACATGTCTATCTTTTCTTTTTTAGGATACTTCAATATAAAGTGGTAATTCACTGTATCATCGTATTCATCGTATTAGAGACGTAACAGAGACAACATTTCATTATTACTGCGTAACAAAAACATAACAAAAACTCACAATTCGTTTGGTCACACGTGACCTCTCAAAGCATGTGGAAAAATATTTGCTGTCCAGTTAGGGCAATTCATAATATTGACCAGAAAGTCACGATTTCTTAACAAGTTAGAATTAAAATATCTCCTGAACTAATGATTTTTTCACATAAATAGATTAATATTTTTTTGTAAAGAATACGATGAGTATCGGTTGATGCAATAAAAAATATATGATTCCATTTAAAAAAACATTAATGATCTTCATATGTTCTTTACACATCCACCTACAAAAAAAATATACCACTAACATATGCCCCCCTCAAAACCATTCAACTTCATCTAAAACATTGTTTGCTATGAGTAATAATAATGATGTAAATCTAGATGGCAAAATGTGGTGAGCCACCCTGTAATCTGTCAACATGAAAATGCTATTTGCAATATATTCTGTGGGTTCGAAGATGCGGATTGTGTTCACAACAGTTCGCACACTATCCTGTCTCGTCAGTAATATACAGAATAATATTGGAATGGTAAAAAATTTTCGTTTGGATCGTCAAAAGCCGTTCCCACAGATGTTTCCTTTTGAAAAAAGCAGCTGGGTTGCAAAATTTGGCCAAAATCGGAGCATAACAGTATTCTGAAATTTCCTCAAGAATTTTAAGCTACTATTTCTTCTTTGATTTTTATTTTAAGATAGATTTTTAAGTAGAATTTTAGTGAGTACAAATCAAAGAATTTATTAAGAAATTAGAAGCAATTTCTTGTTTAAGTTACATTGTTTGACTTATGTACTTCCTTCTGGTAATCAATCATCATATGTAGATAAGATATCTTACTATTCTTTCTACTGTTATTTACATAACGTTTGCATACACGTTTTATAACAACGAATCATCATACTTTGACAGAAGAATGTTAGCTTTACGAATACACTTAATTGTCTGTTGTCCGTGAGAAATATTTCAAAGACTTCACGGAAATCAGTATAACATCGCATGATTCTAATAAAAAGATGATAGTAATACATTTCATATATAGCGTCAATGCTAGTTTTACAACTAATTGATAAACTGGCGATTTTATATGAAAAAGTATCATCTGAATTATTTCCAAAGTTTCCTTAATATTTTCCTGAATCCGATTTATTTAAAACAGCGACATCAAGATTTGGAAAAACCTAGGTCTGTTTCGACTGAGAAAATTTATGTCCTAAAGCTGGTTAAAGTTCTTAAGAAAATAAGTATAAATAAACAAATTCCAGAAACAAGTGCAAGAGGATTTTCAGCAGTGGTATGAATCATCTTTTACATATACTGAATTCTTCGCAATGCATAGCATATTATGAATGGGACGTCTGATTCATACTTTCTGCGGTAATTTAACTTTTCTATTTCATACTACCATTGAAACTTATATGTTTATTATTTTTACTAATTATCGTACCATTCTTTATCATTTATACAAATTATGTTAGCATACTTGCTTCACCACCTTAGCTTAATAAATTGGTAGCATATTTTTGTTAATGTCGATTAATTAAAAAATTATATTTTATTTTTCATTTAATTTAAAGAAGAGTTTTTATCGAATTGAGGAGCATATCTGTTCTTACATAGTTATACAATTTTAATACGAATTTTGTTACGATTTGAAACTTTTAGAATTCGAACGAAATGGAATATTTTGTGAATATCAGAATGTTCATATAAAAAAAGAAACGAAATAATAATATTGTAATTTTATACCTGAAGAGTAAGTAATTAAAAAGTTAATATTAATATTATTGTCTTTTATTATACTATCCTCTTCATAAATATTGATATCCCTTTGAATTCAACCAATTTATGAAAGAGATAAAATTCATCTTTTTATAAAGCAGAGGAAAAAACTTTTAAATATAAAAGGATTATAATACTGTTCTGTATAGCTATACTAAAAGTAATTACATCACCGTAGTCGCTTATGGCGGATCAAGCTGCGTTTATTTTGCTTCATATTCTCATTATTTTATAAACATATTTGTTGAATTACATTATAAGATTACGTCATTATACAGATCATAAAATATTTTGTAAATTTTTGTGAAAAAATGTAAAAAGGTGACAGAGATCTTTTTCTATGTATTTATTAATTTTTTATTAAAAATTAAAAATGTAAGAATATAGGAAGAAATGTAAAATGCAAGGTATAAAAGTTTTGATGCCAAATAAAAATGCTATAAAGTTTTGATATCTGCATTTTCGGCGTAATAGAACCTACAAATACAACACAATTCAGTTCTTTTATAGATTTTTTATAATTTCTATATTTAGCTTGAGTGTAAAAAAAAATATTCACTATTATTACAAACATTTTTCTAAATCGGTGTGCGCTTTTCTAATCAACGTAATGTAAATATTACAAAATCTTTTTTATTTCATTATTTCTTTTTATTATTACTTTTATTCTACTAATATAGCATTCACTGCAAAAGTTAGCCCCGATTGGCTTGTCGTTCAAGCCCCTGTACCACAGTTTTTATATTCCATCGTCCCTTCCTTCATTTTCAAATTATATGTCTTAAATATTAAGTTATAAACTATACATCAAAATTAATTAGTGAATATATGTGAAATAATCGTTAATATTTATTACATTTCTTGACGAAATAATTCTTGGAGTTAACTATCAATTTAAAGCCTCCAAAATGGCGGAACACCATAACACTTTGTCTACCACGTCACACAAGGGTTACGCTTAAATCTTCATACAAGCATATAAGGATTACATAATTAAGATTACAAAATCTGTCACCTATACCAACCACATTATTTGTACACGCACCTAATTGTAAATACTCGTATCATCTACTTGAAACTACGAATAATTATTGGTGATGCTTGAATCTTTATACAAATCCATCAACTATATTCAGATTACATAATGAAGATTACAAAATCTGTCATTTATATTAAGCGCATTATTTGTATACTTGCCTAATTGTAAATACTCATATTAACTACTTGGAACTATGAATAATAAGTACAACACACCACTATCATATTTATTATTTTGCATTCTACCATTACAATATTAATTATTACAGGTAATAAATGTATTATTATTATGAATAATAAATACAATAAAGTATTTGGTAAGATTTGTTAAAAATAAAAATATTACCTAATAAAACTTTTAACTACTTCAATATGACGGTCAAGGTATTATAAAAATACAGAGAAAACGACCCCCATTCTTATATTTATAGAAAAATCAAATATTCCGTATCGTAAATTTTGTGTGCAAACAATTTTTCAAGCGATAATGTAATTTCCACCAAGATGAAGCTACACACGAAGAAATTAGTCTATTATTCCAATACGATTCCTGAAGCTCTCTACCAGTTTCATGATTTTCAAAACACGGTATGTCGGTCGTAGGGAGGGTCAAACGTGACTGTTTGTTCGCTCGATATATTGCATCAAATTGTGAACATTCGCGAACTGCTTTCGGGCGAAGCGAAACGTCCAAATCACGTTGCAAGCAGCATCAAACCGAGATGGTAGACGCTGGACCAGAAGCATGGTGTGCGAACGTCTCGAACGATCACGGTTCACCATTTCCTCGACGGATGAAGTGAAAGCCATGATCGAGGCTGGAGTAGAATGTAAAGAAGTCGATGCGAATCGAGAGAGGGAAACCGCTTTAGCGTCCAGTTACTCCAAGGCAAGCTGAAAGGAATGTCGAACGCCGTGCATCGCGACGCCAACGAGTTCTCACACTGAGCATCTCCAATCAACGACGCGATCGTCAACGACCTACCACCTTTGGTGAGTGAACCACCCTCTTCTTCCACTTCGAACCATCTCTTCCGTGATTCTGCTTTGCACGCTTCTCAACAACCGTTGTGTGCAGGGGTTCTTTTAACCCTTCTGTGAATCTAACTTAGCGCAGTTGCATAGGTGCTTCCATGGAATGTTCTATCTCCGTAGATACTTCCTGGTATTTACATAAGTAACATTTTGATGTGTTAATAAGTACAAATTAATTTTGATTGATTGTTTAGAGTTATGAACGTCTGATGCGGTCACTAGCTTCAAATTTTTATTTGCGATATTTTAAAATTTGTAGTGGAAGATTATATAAATTTTTCCAGTAAGTTAGGGAGATTTAGCAGCTTAAAATTTTAGGGGTTGCGGTCTTCATGAATTGGGAAAGGTGTTTATGGTGTCTGTTTATATGTACTAGTTTTGTGTAGGCAACGTGTCAAGAATCATTTTCTGTATAATTCAGTCACCGCGCACAAAAAGATTCGTTCGAAATTGATGTTTATCTATGTCAAATAATTATTTTAAATTAATGGCCTTCATCTTGAAATGGAACTTTTGTGGACGCGATTTAGTGCGAGGACGTTATAAATTGAAAATTTAACATTTTTAAATATGGAAACTCCCAATATTTTCAATATACGAACTTTTAAACTTTTAAACTTTGACACTCCTAAGTTTTCAAATTCCTAAATATTCATAACCCGAAATCTCTAAACTTCCAAATTTTTTTATGTAAATTTCCACCAGCCCAAATTCTAAAATGCTTTATAATTTCAAAATTTCTGAATTATTAAATTGTCCAATTGTCAAATTCTCAATTTTTCAAATACCCAAATTCTCAAATTTTCAAATTTCCAATATTCTTACTTTCCCAAATTTATAGGATTCCTACGTTCCCAAATTTCCAGAATTCCTGCTTTCTCAAATTTCCATGATTCGTACTTTCTCAAATTTCCAATTTCGCCGACATTTTCTAATCTCAAAATTCTCAATTTACCAAATTCTTTCAATTTTCTAAATTTTCAAATTTCGAAATTATCAAATACCTAATCCCCAAATTTCTAAATTCTCAAACATTTAAGTAACTAAGTTTCTTAAATTCAAAATTTCCATATGCCAAAATCTACAAATTTCCGAAAGCTCTTTTATTATGTCTGGAATGGATTGTTGATACTGTTAGTAATGCTAGAGGAAGCTACTTTTGTGAAAAATTCTGTTTACACAAACGGTGAAATTATTGTTAAGTAAAATGGCATTTTATAATAAATATTCAATCACAACAGCGACTGACTTTATCTGTTAGAAATTATATACGCATCCATGTGTTCGATTTTCAGTTTCTCAATGACACTCACCCTCTCATTCATTTTCAAGCGTTAACTCGAATCTTAAAGAAGTTTCCTAAATGTGTATGCTTATGGTGATGCTTGAATTTAAACTTTTTAAATATTGCTTGAATTTTGTTCTGTGTGTGGAGAAACAAGTCCAATTTAAATTTTATTATAATTCATTATATTTAAAAGGTGGTATCAGGTTATTAATATTTACAATGACCATATAATCCACAAACTAGGTTCTCAATGAATATGTGAATTGAATTATCAACAAATTATATACCAGAAATGAAGAAGAAAAATATTATTTATTATTGTTAGTTAAATAATTTCAACAGAAATATCCTCTCAATAAAAAGTCTTTATCAGTCTAAAGATATTATTTCTGACATACATTTTTATGAATGCGAAGTGGTTATTATTAGAAGTTGTTAATTTAAAAATGTACTTTGTAATAATATACATGTGTTGAATAAACATGTTTTATTATTAAAATTTATGGAGCAAAAATTGCATTACTTCTTCTGAAGACCCAGAACTACAATATTTAATATAAATGCAACTAATACAATTATTTATAATAATATAAATACAGCTAATACAAAATAATTAAAATACAATGAGCGTCCCCTAATATTTAATTGAAAAATATGAAAAATGTTATTATTCATGAGGGTGAATGCATTGAAATTTCCCGTGAAGAAATATAAAAAAAATTCTTTTTAATTAAATATGCACCATCCTAGTACCTAGAATATGATAAGAGAAAATAAGATACAGGAGAAATTAAATACGATGATGCATTCAATGAAAAGACAAATTAGAATAATGTTGTAAAAATAATTGCTTATAAAAATTTTTGAATTTTATGTGTTGATGAAATTATTAATGTCGAGTTAAAAAATTTGCTACCGTGTTTTCTGAGAATCTAAGGTTAACGATTTGTAAAACTAAAATGGTTCAGCAATAAGGACTGTAAGGAATTTAGAAAAACAATTTGTTAATTTTCACGGCTTCATCATCTACAATCAATCTTCTTATCAAAATATTTATTTGTTCCGTATTGTATTAAAAACCTATTAAACGAATCTTAACAATATAATATGTGTAATATCCACGTTTAATATATTTTATTATATGGAAACTATAATCGTATTTGAAAAATTAATAAAAGTCATACTGTATGTTCTAAGACTATTGTGTTAAAGGAGAGTTAGTGCAATTTTTGCAGTGTTATATTGAAATTGTGTTATAGGAAATTGACTATGGAAAGTAACGATTGATTTAATCTAGTAAATTGTTGATCGCCTTACTGTAAAATTTCCAAAATTTATGAAATATTTTTAATATAATTCTAATTATAAAATATATTTTGTTCATGTATTAAAAATAATGTATGTTCTAAAATACATTTTTTATTCTTTGATTCGTCAAAAAAAGCATTAAACATTGTTTCTTATATTTGATTTCGTTTTTGGTTCAAAATATCACCACGTTATTAATAATTCAAAAATTTCAAGTGTTATATCAATTATTTAGATACAGCATTCTAAAAGTAAATTTTCGTTAAAATGAAGATCTTGTATCTTCACGATTTTTGTAACGGATTTCTAAGGAAGACGTTTACAGTTCGATCCGTATGCATGAAACATTGCTGAATTTTTCTCGATTAATAAATAGTTTCTGTTCAGTTGTACAAAAATTCCATTCCGTTGCGAAAATTCATGTGATATCTCTATGGCGAGACCACATTGGTACAGTGAAATTGGCCATATAAAATACGGCATACTACAGAGTGGGCCAAAAGTCACTTTCTAATTTCAATAGACTATAGGTTTTCTAAAAATAAACAGAAACATTGACTGCAATTGGAAAATTGTTTATTAACCCAAAAAGTTTTTATCTGACAATAATGTGCTTTTAACTATTCAAATAATAAATAAAAGTAGCATGCTCTAAATGGTCTTGCAATCATTCACAAATTTCAGCTCTAACTACTTTAAGAAACTGTTTAAATTAATAATTTCCTACTTGACTTTTGTGTTTTCATTTAATTTAAACAATGTGCAATCAATTGGAATTACAAAATGACTTCTGATCCATTCTGTATATTTGCAGTTATTGAAAACACAATCATTTCATTTTTCAATTTAAACTTTTCTCTTAATACCTTGTGTAAGGAATACAATCACGAATATCACTAATTTATCTGTCAAGAAGCAAAATTATGAGCTATTTTAAGAAGAATTTTATTTTAAAAGATTTCCAGTTTTTACGTATAAAATATTTGTTAATATGATTGCAATGTAATTCTTTTGTAATATAATTACAACCAGATATAGTTAATTTTCTGGAGTGAAAAGCAAAACCAAATTAAGGAGCAAGACCAGTTCCTTTTGATAGATAATAATCTTAATTAATCGCTTATATTTATAACCCTTAACCACCGCAGTTCAGAGAAATAATAAATATGGCACATACATTAATTTTTAATACATATTAAGGTGATCCTTATAATGGAAAACAGCAAATATTCTGAATAACATACGTCATCATGTAGTTTTAAGTTAAAAAAGTCTAACTTTCACGGAGTCAAATCTGAACCTATCGTGGTAAAAGATAATTTGTGATGTTAGTCACTGATGATCCTCGCGATATTCAACGTATCAATTACATTTTTTAAATTATTATAATTATGTGTCCTCCTATATGTGTTTACCATATATGGCCATTTTCAGTGCGTCACCGTGTTAATAATACGAAAATAAACATAGCCCGTTGTTTTTCAGTATGCATCGCCAACACTTGTTCCGACATTGAGTTAAATTTATGCAAATATGTATTTTGAATTTTGTCTCGCATTGGCTCGCATAAATACGTCAGTGTTGTACAGAAAACTATTATTATTTGAGGATGCAAACAGAATCGAATGTAATATATGACGCAACGTGTCCGAATTTATAAACGAATTATATGATTTCTTTCTTTTGTAACATTCCTTTTTTAAATTGCATCAACATGTTGGATGATATAACACATGTTATGTGATGCAATTATAGCGTTAAACTGCATTTACATATCACAAAGCAGTCCATCGAATGTTTCCCATATCCAGACAGGTATCGTAATAAAAATCGATTGTAGTTACATTGTACAATGCAACACAAGAATACACTCATCGATCTAAACAGTTTTATGTAACAACAATGAGATACCATCATTTCGAAGCAAATTGTTCAGTTACGGAAAATATATTATCGAAGATTTGTGCTTCGATGAGTTTCTCGAATACGCACGGCGTTTTATAACACAGTAAGCCTCTCGTGAATTAAACCCTGGCTTTACTTATCCATGATTAATCAAGTTGAAATTCAAATTTAAAAAAATTTAAAGATTTCAAATTTAGCTATTTACTTAGAAATTTCTATATGTGTTAATAATTTGAGAAATTGTTTGCGTATAAGTCAGTGTAGAACTGGCAATATATCGAGACTGATGCAAAAACTAGTAATACCCCGTTTTATTCACTTAACTTAATTCGCTCAATTATGTAGAACGAATCTAATAATTTATCTACTTATTTATCATGCACCTATTAAAATTTTTCAATAGTACAGGTTCTACTGCATTCTATAAACTCAATAAATATTTTGCGTAGAGTTCATA